TACACACTTACAGTCACACATATACACTCAATGACAAACACAGATTCACTTATTTGACACACACACATTTACTGATAGACTCATTCATTGACAGACCCACACACACTGACACTCATTGTCAGACACACGGATAGTCACACAATCAGAGACTCTGATTTGACACACGCAAACACACATGCATTAACAGACACACGCATGCACTAACAGACACTCAGACACTCACAGACACACACACTCCTAGACATATACACTCACAGACACACACACACACTCACATTTACACTCACAGACACACACAACTTAATAATGTAATTAAAAAAATGTTTCACCCAGCCTCCCTACGTAGAGAGCTGGCGTGGATCCCTGGGGTTCAGTGGGACTACTGTGATGCGGGCGGCTTCCCATCTGAGGCGGCAAGGGAGCTTTGATCTTTCTGCTCCCTCGCAAGCTGTCTACTGATACTGGGAGCCAGGATATGACATCATATCCAGGCTCCCATGGCATCAGTAAAAGGCACGCGAGGGAGCAGAGAGATCACAGCTTCCTCGCTGCCTTGCAAGGGAAGCCGCCCACCGGGGAGGGTGGAGGGGTCTCTGTTAGATGGCTGGAAGGTCAGCTCTTGCAACCCCCCCATGACAGGGGGAATCACAGGGGACGCGTTAGGGGGCGGCATTTTTTGCCGCCCCCTAAATAGTGCCGCCTAAGGCAAATGCCTAGTTTGCCTTGGGCTAAATACACTCCTATTCGACAGTCTGTGTGTACTCAGCAGTCTGTCTGTGTGTGTAGTCAGCAGTCTGTGTGTGTCTGTCTATTCATCAGTCTGTATGCGTGTATTCAACAGTCGTCGTGTGTATGTATTCAGCGGTCGGTGTGTGACCGTATTTAGAAGTCGGTGTGTATGTATTGTATGTATTGCATTTGTTGGAAGTACTTATAAATATAATCTTCGTTGTTTCTATAATTTAAATTTTTATTCCTGTAAGTTGTGTAAGTAGGGCCCCAGTAGGTGCAGTCAGATCTTATCCTCTCCCTCGTGGTTCCAGTGCTCAGTTAGTGAGTCAGAGCACAGCCTCAGAGATTCTCAGCCTGCGCTCCAACAACATTGAAAGTCAGAGCCGCAAAGGAGTGGGTATGGCAAAGAGCTACTGATTAGCATAACATCAATATCCGTTATAAAACCAGGAACGGTTGGGCGTGGATGGTGAGCTGATTCGGTGGTGCAATGGGCCACTTGACTCGATTTGCCCCCCAAGCCTAAGGCTGCCATCCTTCCTTTGGGCATGGGGACGTCATAGAACGCCGTAACAGTGTTACGGGGTTAATTTATTGTTAAATCTCTCCCTCTGATAATATTGTAAAGCACTACGGAATATGCTGGTGCTATATAAATACCAGTAATAATAATAAGAAGAAGAGACTTGTGTCCAGAAAGACACAATGGATCCAGTAACCTGTTTTGAGCTCTCCAAGAGTTTCTGGGAGTTGTAGTTCAAATCTCACAGAAATGGCATCATAGCATTATCTACAGCAAAATTATTAGATCAAGAATAGGTTACAGATAAGACAGAGGGACAATAGAGATGAGCTAATAGAACAAAAACGAAATAGTTATAAATAAATAAATCTACCTAGTATAACCAACCTAACCATTTTTTGTTCCTGCATTGCCCCTTTATGCTGAGTTATGGTGTGGATAAGGTTTAGGTAAATGATTCTCCTATACCTGTGGACAAGTACTAAGGTAGGTACTAAGGTCTTTTTAACTTTGAACTGTGATACTGTTAAAGGGACTCTCTGGTGCCAGGAAAACATATCCGTGTTCCTGGCACTGCAGAACCCTGCAGTACCCCTCTCCCTCCCTGTCCCCATCCCATATTGCTGGAAGGGTTAAAACCCCTTCAGTGACTTACCTGAATCCAGCGCCGATGTCCCTCGGTGCTGGGTCCCTCACGTGCACTAGACCTCCCCATAGGAAAGCATTATTCAATGCTTTCCGATGGGGATTTCGGCGATGCTAAAGGTCCTCATACATAGCGTGAGGACAACCAGCGTTGTTTAAAATACTTTTCGTGTTCTAAGAAGTTCTGATAGACAGCCACTAGAGGAGGACTTAACCCTGCAAGGTAATTATTGCAGTTTATAAAAAAACACGGCAATAATTAAGGTTGCAGGGTTAAGGGTGGTGAGAATTGGCACCCAGACCACTCCAATGGGCAAAAGTGGTCTAAATGCATGGAGTGTCCCTTTAAAGAAAACATTTGCTATGTTGCTGTCATTCTTGTAATAGTTCCAATAAAAAAATTTCATAATCTTAAAGTGTTGGTGTATACTACTATGATGCATGTAAATAATTTCTTTAACTTAGTCCTCCTCAAGAAAACAAAATAATTTATTCACTAAACCACAAATTGTAGCAAACCGAAACATGAATAACAAAATTTAGGCATAAACATCTCTTCTTCCAAAGGAAATAATGGAAGTGGGGAACAGTTTGACTCCTTAAACTGTGGGGTGCAAGGGTGTCCAGACACCATAACCACTATAGCAGGCGTGGAGTGTTCCTTTAAACACCATAGTTTATTTAAACAGCACTTTGCGGTAATACTTAGGCTGAGAATTTAGCATCTTACAAAATCCTACCACATCTTGTACCAGAGCCACTTCTGCATTTCATAATCAGCTGTCATCAGATTTCTTGCTGCAAAAGTTTTGTTTAGAGCAAAACCATTTTCAAGCATGTCTACTGAAGATCTTACAAACTCCTTAGTAATGTATTTTGTTAGATTGTTTGACTTTGTTTTTTGCTAAGTATTTCACAAGTGAGAGGATGGCTAGATGATGGTCTCAAAAATAAAATGTGACTTACCATATGACAAACCGAAGGAAATTACTATATTAAACTGTATTTTATCCTCTAAGTATACTAGGAGCTGTATAGTTTGTACATTTACTTGAATTTCTATGAAAAATCTATCTCCTATTTTTTCTTTTCACCGTCAACATACATTTTTTTACTATTGCCCTCAAAATTTGGAGTCTGTCATAAAAACAATTTAGATGCTATGAGCATCTTGGGATGTTTATGACGTCGTGTTCCGCACCCTCAGTCAATAAATACTGTGTGCAACATTGTGAAGAAGCTGCAAAAGGATATTCTGTGCCCCGATTTTACTCCCTGCTGTCCCGCATCCAGGAATATCAGGGAACTATCATAGGGTAGCACAGCGTGAGAGTATCATTTGATCTGCTTGTTTTCTGAAACGGCACTACGGCCATGCAGAGAGCGCTTCTGTAGGTTGGTGGCCTGCCAGGAAAACTGTCAGTTAGCCTGGCGTGCTTGATGCCAGGTTGACATGCCCATTCAGTTCCTATTTCCAGGCAGGCTTAGCCATTATGGTTGTCCCTCTACTGCCTGCCCACCACCTGTCCAGATCAGTACATCTCACAATGTTGTAAGGCAGGCTTCCCCAAGCTCCGGCCCTCCAGATGTTGCTGAACTACAACTCCCATGATTTTATGAAAGAAATAGGTAGGCTGAGAATCAAGGGAGTTGTAGTTCAGCAACATCTGGAGGGCCGGAGTCTGGGGAAGTCTGTTGTACGGTATAGTAAGGGGACTGAACCAAAACGGTGCACTGTGGAGAAGTAAGGATATCTTTATAAAGCCCTTCCCTACTTGACGCCTGTAAAAGTATGAGAAAACTGATGTTTGTGCTTCCATGTGCTTCTTCAACAGAGCCGAGTAACGCGCATAGGGAGCAGGTTCTTAAAAAATGAAGCGCATATCGAGCGTCCACCGCGTAATCATGATGCTTTTCAGCAGGCCTTCCTGACAGATATAATATTCAGCTTTTTTAAATAAACTGTAAGATTATACATTACGTGCTTTTTTTATTCTTGCAAACCGGAAGATGTCACTGGTAAAAGGTCGGCCTAAGTTAGCCACTATCTTTTTAATGGATGATATAACAAGTGATTGGACAGTCTCTGCAAGTTGCCTAGTTACTGCACAGACAAGAAAACCAAATTAGAAATAAAACCAGCTAACGAAATGATGAAAGACCAGCACTAGCACCTTCCCAAACCTTATTTTTCCTCACCCTTACATCCCTCTCAACATTTTATTTTTTTATCCGCTTCCTTCCTCACCCCTGATGCTTTTGCCACTCTCCTCACTTTTTCCTTTGTTTACCCTTTATCATTCTCATATAAATAAATTGTTTTCTATACATTTAAATTGCATTTAATCACTAGTCAAATTGCAATTCTCTTTATGCTATTGAGCTACTGTATGTGAATCTCGCAATTTCGCTGTAAAAGCTATCACTGTATGAATAGCCCTCAAAGGATTTTAATACGCCATTCTGTGCTCATTGCTTTAGCTTTGAACATAACCAATGATTCAGACTTTGCTTTTGTAATAATATGGTGCTGGGCCAAGACCACTTCCCTCCTTTGTCCTCTAGAAAAAGATAATGTGGCTAACGCGGCAATCTTTAGGACGCAGAGTGGATCTTAAGATGGTAAAATTAAAAAATTAGGTATCTGTATCCAGGGCCGTCTTTTCGCATGGGACCCTCACAGGTCAGAGGTAAGAAGTAGGGAGCGGGGTAGGGACATTAAGCTGTATCTGTAACACACATTGCATCCTTCGCATACAGACACATTGCACACTGTGACGGACCACCTGGCACCCCGACTGGGCACTTCCGCCAACAGATGCTTCCTAGCTGACGCTGAGGACCGTAAGGACACCGCACCGGACACCACAAGCACCGCAAACTCCACAACCGCCGTAGCTTAGCTGTTATCTTGCAGTCTTCCTCTAACCCAGGACCAACCTTTGATATCCATGACCATGTGGGAAAGATCTCTCCTCCAGGAGAGTATAGCTGTATAGCTCTTATAAGAGCTAGTGATATAGCAGTATAGTAGTTCTCCTCCAATCACGAGACCAAGCTACGTGTTGAGGACTTAAGCAGGACTCACTTTTAATGGTGTCATAGCTGGCCTTATATGCAAGTCCCCATGCAAGGGAACACCCACCTGGACCTTGTGGGGAACAGGATGACAATTGTTACAAGCCAATGATAATGCAGTACAGTAGGTGACACTCCCACACATTACACACAATCCCTCCCCTCAGCTTGGGAGATAATTGAGTCAAGTCCTGTATGTAACTCAATTATCTCCAGGCAGAAAAACACACATTTTTATAAAGTATGAAAAGTACCCCAATATACAACATATGTCACATCCCCTGATAGCTCTGATCTGGGTGACCAACATATCCAAAAATCACCCAGATCAGAGCAGGGGTTCAGGAATTTTGTGGAAATCCCATTTTGACTGACCAACCGCACGCATGGTTTCATGCCCAAAACAGTTCCAGAGAATTAGGCTGCAGGGCTGGTCTATTTCAAACAATAAAAACACCGTTCAAATTACCGAACGTAACTGTTTATGAACATAGTGTGTCCCTTGTTCGTGTGCTTGTGCCCACCGAACGCCGTTTCGAATAGCCGAAGTTCCATGGAAGGTAACTGTTCAGCGGCGTTTGTGCCATCACATGTCCGATTTGAGTTCCATGAACTCGACGACAAAATACAGCTGAATGTGTTCAACTAAACAAGATGGCCGCCTCCACGTGTTCGACTATACGAATGTTGACCACCCAGACATGTCAATTTGGCTGCGGTTAACTGCCAATCTGGGAGGTAAATAGGCTGCACACTCCACTGTGGTCCGGCTGTTCAAAGTGGCAACTAGAACCACTTCAAAAGTTCGAAGAATTGTTTTCCAAAGTCCTAAGAGGCACAGTTAGGGTTTTTTAACCATAATAAAATAAAGGGGCCATAGTCACAGGGTAAAAGGCTGGCAAGTAGTCCCCTCCAAACCCCAGTGGCGAAGTGGCTTTCACCACACACACACTAAACTGCACACACACAAACTGCACCCTCATCGCAGTCTGTCTATGTGTACTCGGCAGTCTCTGTGTGTTTTCAGCAGTCTGTGTGTTTGTGTATTTGGCAATCTATGTATGTATTCAGCAGTCTGCATATGTGTGAGTATTTAGAAGTGTGTGTGTGTGTATATTCAAGGTGACCAGATCCATCAGGTTTACCAGGACACATATAATTGTGTCATATTTATGAAAATGCGTGAAAAGCGTTGCCCTGCAGTATGTATAATGCATATTCTGCAGGATTCTTCATTGCCCAATTACTTAATCTAACATACCTTCTTCTGAATTCTACATATTACAGGGCTAACCTTTTCATGTGCTGCCCATCAATATGTATACATGATATTTGTCCCGGTAAGCATGGTAGGTCTGGTTAACCTGACTGTATTTCATCTTTTTGAGAAACCAATAAATATATGCTTTTTTTTTTTATTGATAATTTAGATTTTTATTTCTGTGAGTGACTGTATAGATAGGTCCCCAGTGCACTGCTTTGCCCAGGGACATATAATGCTGTTAAGACAGCCCTGTCCATATCTCACTTGCAATGTTAAGATAACAATGCATCTACCACTCTATCGTGAAAAAAAGTAAGTGTAAACTAAAGTAAACAAAATAATAATGTCTATAAGCATTAAGTCCGTCATAGAGAAGACTAATATACAGAAACAAAGCTCGTATACAATAGATTGCTCATTGGTGTTCATAGAATAAAAATGGAAGCATTTGTTAAACAGCAATGGATACAACAAGGGTTAATTAGAAATAATTCACTTCCCTTTTTTTGCTTCTACTAAACCACTCAGTGCAACTGTTTGTCAGTAGACAGCAGCCTGCTCTCATGATTAGTCAGCTGACATGTGACCTCCCACTATCTCCCTAATCTAAAGGCTATTGTTGACTGACGGCTCAGATGGCCAATTATTTTGACACAAACAGAACCACAACGCACAGCCTGCCTACCCACTTGCGAAAAAGAGCAAACACTTCTCGAAATGTTAAAGTCGATAAAGGAAACCAAGTGAATAAGCAGGCAATACGTTTCCACTACGCTTCAATTTGGAAGCTGAATCAAGCACTCCAGGAGCCGACACACAATGAAGACGGTGGGGCTTATTGTATTGATATCTCTATCATTGGGCATAGATGCCATGATTCGGTAAGTTTGCTTGAATCAACGGACGTAAATACCCGATTTCATTTGTGTTTAACCCCTTTAAAGAACATGCCGGCCTATATTGTCAGAACAAAATATGTTTTGTTTTTTTAACTTAAATTCCTATATACAATGTCATACTCATTGAAAATTGTATCATATAGATCTGTTCATTCTAAATAAGCAGGGCTTTCCATGCTGGTATATAATCATTTATGACTACATGCTAGGGGATATTATTGTACAGCGCTACGGAACTTGCTGGTGCTATGTAAATAATAAAATAATGATAAATTATATTTAATGTGTTTACAGTTCCGTAAGATATGTAATATAACAAATGCTTAACCCCCTTTGGGACAAGAATGGTTAAAGGGACACTCCACTTCTCAAAAATAATAAATCACAATCACTGTTTAGTAGATTTACCCCAAATTAAAACAAGCATGCATTTAATTGTGGATTTGTTCATATATCTAAAAACAGCTTGTAAAAGCTGTAGATCTCTTGTCTGCAGCCTTTACAAGCCCTCCACTTCTAACCCTGCCCAGACTTTCTTAGGCTGTCCTATCACAGACTTCCCATTGCAGCGGTCAATTTTAGTAATATGAAACCCAAAATGCAGTACTTGTAATAGTAAACAAAAATTTAAAAAAATAAAGGCAAAGGCAAGGTCAGGCAGTCCAATTGTCAAATATCCAGGCAACAAAGGTTCAGAAATGATGGGGGGAGCGGGGGGGGAAAAGGTCAGGTAAATCCAGGAGAGGAGAAATAACACAGGTAATTGCATGGAAATAGCACAGAACAACTGAGCAATGACAGTGTAGCTGTTCACCGTTTAAATAGGGTGCCAAACTAAAGACACACCTTTCTGACATGCCTTCATAACACCCTATTGGTGCATGGGGCTGTCAGTCATCAGGGGTTGCCATGGGAGGTAATAATGATGTTAATTGATTCCAGGCATGCCCACAGGGCTGCCCTGTGACATGCAACGATCATGCATGTCTTTTAAGCATCTGTCTTTCCTGGGGGATATGACACAATCTGAGTTCGGAGGCCAAGGCCTACCCCTAGCTTGCGCGTGTTTGGGCGGCCAATCAACGAAGGTGCTGCCGGACCAGCGAGGAAACCGTAGTTTAGTCTTGACAGCAGCTCAATGAGAAGTCTTTGCAAGGCAGGTGCTTTGGGCAATTGCTGCCTCTTGTGTTTAGCTCAACTGAACTAGCCAACCAGGACGTTTTCTGCTTGAAAGCCAGGAAGGTGTAACCAGGTTAATTTATAAAAGTGTCAATTTCTATTGAAATCTGCATTGTTTCCAAAATAAATAAAAAAAATATAACATGTTCTTCTCGTGAACATACTGTGAACAAATGTGTTCGTGTCTGGAAAAAAAAAAGTATAGAAATCCACACTGGGACTAAATGCCTGCATCATAGTTTCCTGTCAATCTTTATTATAAACCCCACCCTTTTCTGTCATTGAACATAGTGTGTGGAGGTGGAGAACCAGACACAGTGTTTCCTTTTCCTCTCCTCTAGCGTACTTTGTGCCTTGGTTCTGCCAGGACTTAACTGGATTGTGATGTCAGTAGATACATATTTGATACACTTTTAAAAGAAGATGAAGTATCACAAAAAAAAGAATAACATAGATTATAGGGGATATTCAGTGTTTTATACATCATTGTAATTCGCAGTGGAGTGATGGTTCCCCTTCAAGATACTGGAAAATACCTTCAGAGATTGGTGGTCACATTATCTATTTGCATGATCTCAAGAAATTGGAAAATTCAAACTTAAACTCCGCTACGGACTGATTAAATCCATTACAGCTACTTTTACCATTTATTAACATTCTATGTGCTGTCAGGCATCATGTATTCTGACACTTGATTACATGTAGGATTCTATTGATATGATTCCTTAAAAAGATAAATGTGAGATTTCCCTCCCTGGATATTTATACTGCATACTACAGCCACTTTTCATGTGCTCACTGACATGTTGACTATGTGTCCTGAAAACAGTGGACAAAGAGTTAGAAGTACAGCCCAGATTTTGGGATTGTTATTTCTTGATGATTGAAATTCTGTAAGTCAACGTTGTACCTTAGGGGACAATACTTCATTGAACTGAAGCAGAGACTACAGCCAATAGACTGAGGCCTAGCAACTCGGACGTGACAAGTATCTATTAGTACAAACCTTCCAGACGTCCTGATAAGGCCACCGGAGCCTCCACTGCAAATTTCTTATTCTTGCCCCCATTTACCTTCTTTGTGTTTAACTTTCAACTTAAAATTCTTTAGTTTTATGAACCTTAGTGTTTATCATTTATGATTTGGAGATTGTGGCCTGGCTAAAGTGACAATGCAACCATTCAGAATATAACATTGTATCCCTGAACGTAATCATAACTGCACTTTGCTAGAGGCATAGCGATAATAGGAGTGCACAGGCATAATACTTCATTGACATGCTTCTATGTTAATGTATTACACACACACATATACATATATATATATATATATATATATATATAAGAAATATAGAATGTGTACTCATCAATGAAGTGTGACTCTCTCCCTCTGATTGGTGCCAACCCGGATGTGTGCGCGTGACTTGATGAATGCACCGTGTGCCGTGAAGCCGTGGTTGCTAGGAAACCCAGTATATAAAGTGATGGTGGTGAACAGAGATGCACGAAAAGTGCTGATGCAAAAACACAGAGGATATATATATATATATATATATATATATATATATATATATATATATATATATACACACACATACACTAGCATAAAAAAGCAGTGGACTACTAAATCGCAAAAACAAATATTCTATTATAAACAATTATCTAAGGTACTGTGTGGGTCCAATGGCCACAAAAGTCCAGCGGAGTCCCAAGGGAGCTTCACCCAATCATATAGGGTGTATTTCCCTTGGGACTCTGCTAGACTATTGTGGCAGTTGGAGCCACACAATACCTCGGATAATTGTTTATAATAGAATATTTTAAGCGCCCCTTTTTCGTGCTATCAATGTTATCTAATACAATATAATGCAGCATGTAATATATGTAAGTTTATATGTCACACATTTGCAGTAATACACACTATATGTATAGGATCTTCAGACCTTGGAACACATGGACACTACCCCTACCCTCCACATCACTCTTGTGGTTTTTCACATGTTCTTCACCTTTCTTATAACACACACACACAATTGCCTTGTTTCTACACTCACACTTCCTCCGCTATCTATTTGCCTTCCATAAATAGGTCTGATCTGCGGTATACTAAGAATTTCTCCTTTCAGTATTGCAATATTATATATATATATATATATATATATATATATATATATATATATATATCCTCTGTGTTTTCGTATCCACACTTTTCGTGCATCTCTGTTCACCACTGTCACTTTGTATACTGGGTTTCCTAGCAACCACGGCTTCATGGCACACGTTGCATTCGTCATGTCACATGACCTTACGTGAAACGTCGATCATTGAATTTTTGTGTGATGTAACATTGGAATAAGTTGTATAGATTCAACGTGGGATTGCACCAAGGCACGTATTATTTGGAATAAAGTTAGGGTGAGAAACTGGGTTTCCTAGCAACCACTGCTTCACGTCATTTGTGAATATATATATATATATATATATATATATATAAATTTATTTTTTTAATTACATTTTGTTATATTTTTATTAATTTAATATTTTTAGCCATAAAACTAGTTCCTGTACTTTTTCATTTCTTGTTTGGACTGACATAGCCTCAGTGTATAGCTTTAAGCAAATATCTTGCTACTGAACCATATTAATTTTAAATGCACCTCTTGTTACAAGTATAACTTAGTCAGTATAGAGGATATAACATGTTATTTATGTGGCATGTTAGCCAACTCACTAGCATATGCATAGATTAAGTTATTGCTATATTTATTTGTTTGACCTTCTCAGTCTTTACCACTATGCCATTGATTTTTCTTTCCCAAAGAACAAAAAGCTTTGTCACTGATATTTTCTACATACTTGAAAGAGAAAATCTTATTAATTTCTTTTGACTGGGTAGTATAAAATTAAATAGATACCCAGTAGTGACATATGGAGCTCTTTAGGTGGTGGCAGAGAAGGATTAAGACCCTAGGCAAGTTACCAGTCCACCCAAAATTCTTCATAGGGATAGTTAATGGGGCCAAGACATTCATTATTTTGGGGCTCCTGTCTAAACCATGGTACCTAGACAGTCGGCTAGGGTCTTCTTAATCCTGTTCTTTGTGGTAAAGGGACAGTAGAATAATATCTATAACATCAGGCAGTTCCCCTTGAAAACAAACAAGAGATCCCGAATTACATGGGAATGGCTGGGGGGGTGGTTAAATTGTTGAGGGTGGTGGGTGTCATTAACTGTCTGTAGTTGTAATTGAAGATCATCACGGTGGAAGGGAGAATATTATGGGTTAACTAGAGTGGAATCTGGAATCGGTGTCACTTACTGGTTTTGGGGAGAAATTTGGGTGATTCAGTGGGTGGAATTTACTAAATAGTCTGAGGTGGATAAGGTAGGAGTCATCGAAATTTGCTTTTAGTTTAGGCTAAATGTCTTTTTTTCTGGAATTTAGCAATTCCCCTGTAACCTAGTATCAGCTCAATTAAATTACAGCAGAAGCATTGCAAGGGAAATCATGTGATGCCATGTTTCAACAAATTTTCAAGGCATTTTACCAATAATTCAAAAAATGATCTTGAACAAAGTAAGATAAAGACTATACTCACTTTCAATGTCCGAAGTTAACTGAAGACCTGAAAGTCTGTCCCGGTTGCCGGTTCACTCCTTAGGTGAGATCCCTTTGTGTAGTACCATTGATCACCACTCTCCCTGTTTGGTGCTATTCCTTACTTCTTGGAGCATTAAATACTTCAACTTGCCCTTGCTAGGCACCTTTATAGTCTGGCCTCACGCTTATCTCAGGGCGAGATCATTGTTTCCTTGTTCCTGTGTCCTCTGGTCTTGTATCCTGTGACTCTGTCCCTGCATCCTGTGGCCTTGTTTCCTGTGACTCTGACCCTGCATCCTCTGGTCCTGTATCCTGTGACTATGGTCTTGCATCCAGTGGTCTGGTATCCTGTGATTTTTGCCTTCCATCCTTTTGGCACTAGATGCATATCCTGCAGTTCTGGACCTGAGTCTTGTCTGTCTCTCATGGTGCCTGCCGGGTCCTGCCCAGTGTACTCCATTTAACCTACAAGACTGCACTTGATACTCTGCCTGCACTTGCTAGACCTAGGTCTACTGTATATTTTGTATTGGCATTGTGTTTTGGAAATTGTTTCGTTATCTTGTGTCTTTTTGTTTGTTTCATAATATACTTATTTGTACTCTCATTCCTTGTGTTTGTAGTTTTTCTCTGCATACTGGGTTCCTGCACGAAAAGGGATATTGCTGTCGCAGTGCAGCAACCCTGACCTAAAAACAATGATCTGACCCTGAGGGAAGGGTGAGGCCAAACTATAAAGGTGCCTAACAAAGGCCAGCTGAAGTGTTTAATGCTCCAAGAAGTAAGGAATGGCACCAAACAGGGAGAGTGGTGATCAATGGTACTACACAAAGGGATCTCACCTAAGGAGTGAACCGGGACACTGCAGCATGAGACTCTATCAATCAGGTGCTTCTAATTCTGGGCTGAGACATCTGATCTTATACTATAAACTCTTATCAAGAAAAAGATGGGATAAGTAGTTTATCAACTACATACATTTCCACTTATCACATAAGAAGTGTGGAACCGCTCTGTTAACTGATATAAAATGTACTATATCACAGCTCATGGTTTTGCGATCCAAGCTTGATCTTAGAAGGATGAAAGGCTGAGTTAATGCATGAATAATCAAAGAAATAGTATGATGCAGTGGTTACCACTCACTCCACAACAGGGGGAAAGGGTGCCACGGCATCAAATCTCCAAAATGGAGGGTGGTCGCCTAAACTGTGCTCTCAAAGAGCGGGTAACCCTTAAACATAAATTACAAAAAACTAAATACTTGTCAGTGTGATCCTCCAAATCAGAAGGAACACACTGAGAGAGAAACCAGAAGGGATGAAAAGAATATGTAAAATAATGAACAAAAACCCTACCTTTATTGGATCTCGGTTAAAAATGGGATAAGCCCAATATAACCGATTACCATAATAAGAACTAGGGGAGAGGGCAAACAGACTAAACCTCTGATATATAGAACAAAAAAATACTTGAAGAAATGCCTGAGTAACTCTCCTCTTAGATAGAGGGTGATCCAGGTCCGCAACCCACAGGGGACAGGGCCTATAGAGGCCTCTCTAAGCTCAATAAGAAAAAATCTGCCTTAGTTCAGGGAAAAATCCGAGTAGGACCTAAAGGTATAACAAAGAAAAAGAATAAGGAGCTGTATGCTGTCCCTAGGTTACCTCGGCATCACATGAAGCTAGTGTCTACCTGAACCCCCAAAAACCTAGTATTATGGTAAAAAAGACAAAAGAACTAAACAGTGCTCATACTGCTACCCAAAAAGATGTAAAAATGTGGAACCAAAGCAATACACCCAACGCGCGTTTCGGCGTGCTCACACGCCATCGTCAGGGGCACAGTGAAGTGCTGAGGTCACCTAGGGACAGCATACAGCTCCTTATTCTTATATACTGGTAGTGGTTTTATCAGTACTTTATTTTTGCAAATAAACATTGCGTCTCCTAATACACATTACATACTAAAACTAGCGCATCTACAATTCTTTGTCCTATCGAAGGGAAATATAGTATCATTATCGATTTCTATGACAAACAGAAAATGCAGCTTGCTAGAATTGCTAGTTATGATGGCTGTGGTTTGCTTAAAGCTAAAGGAGAGGATAAAAATTAGACCATCCCGTTTGCTACAGAGTGGTTGTGCAAATATTACGTTTCATGACCACAGCAGTTTCCTCTGAACCTGAGCTTTATTACTTTGCTAAACTGACTGCCAATTTGAGTCCTCAATCTATGCACAGCTCAGGAAATGGCAAAATGTAACTGTTTAGTTGAATAAAAGTTTACTCATATTAAGAATTTGAAGTGTTTCCATACTCGCTAAAATAATTCTCATTTGGCTACCTTTTTTCATTTGTGTCCTCTCATTTTAATATTTTACAATTTGATTTATTCTGGGACTAAAACTCAGAGAGGGTTGGAGGTTTCTATATGACACAAGGCTACTCATCAAGTTAACTTCACGATTCACAATGCAGATCTACATTTCCTTGAGTGGTTTCGCACTATACTTCAAAGTTGATTCTCACAACAAAAGAACTGGCTTCAACCTTTTTCTTCGCTAAGCTATTCAAAGTGCCTGTTAAATCAGCACTGTAACTTGTTAGTGATAAGGTAAACTGCTTGCATGGTGTTGGTCAAAGAGGAAGTAGAGAGTTACTTATCTTAAGTTCTATTAAAGGGACACTCCAGACTCCTATAGCTTTTTAGCTTGCTGAAAAGCTTTACATGTGAAGTATGTCTTTTTTTTTTTTTTTGCAATTTGCAGAAAGTGCGGATTTCAACAGAAATTTCCACTTTTATTATTATTATTGCCATTTATATAGCGCCAACAGATTCCGTAGCGCTTTACAATAAATTTAGACTGGTTACACCCCCCTTGCTGTTCAATCAGACAGAGGGTCCTTTTACTTCCTGGTTTGGTTAGCTTAGTTGCACTGAATGCAAGAGGCAGCAAATGCCCAGAGCACCTGCATTGCAAAGGCTTCTCATTGAGCTGCATTGAGACGTCTGTGATTGGACAGCCACAGAAAGTCTGGGTGGGGTTAGGAGGGGAGGGCTTGCAATGGCATTAGACAAGAGATCTGCAGTTTTTGCAAGATGTTTTTAGATATAACTACAATGAAAAAAAATGCATAATTAAATGCATGAATGTTTTCATTCTGGGTATACCTACTAAACAGTGATTTTTAAAATGTATTTTTGTATATTTTAAATTGTTTGTGTGGTGGTTTAGTGCTTGCACTGTTCGGTGAAATAGGGGAGGCAGCTCAACAATCCAGTCGGAAGTCTCTCTGTTCCGGTAAACTACAAAATACTCGTGTTGAAAGGAAGGAGTAGCACCTCACAACATTCACAGGTAGTATATAAGAAAATGAAAAATTGAGAAATATATAGCGTAGAATTTCTGTAATGTGAGCTAAAAAAAGGAAAAGTACTTACAAATGAGTGGAGCTATCAAGAGCCTACAAGTGGAACTTATTTGTAAGTGCATTTCCTGTTTTCCTGACTGCCTTCTTCCTAAAATTGGTTTTGCCCTTGTGCCTCCATACACGTAAGAGGAATCTGTTCTAGAAAAAGTGCAGAGGCGGGCTACAAAATTAATAAAAGGAATGGAACATATCAGCTATGAAGAAAGGTTAACAAATTTAAACCTATTTAGTTTAGAAAAAGTCACCTGAGAGGGGATATCATAACATTATACAAATATATTTGGGACCAATACAAACCATTGTGTGGAAATCTATTCACAAACCGGACTTTACATAGGACACAAGGTCATGCGTTTAGACTGGAAGAAAGAAGATTTCATCTAAGGCAAAGAAAAGTTTTTTTTTACTGTAAGAACAATAAGGATGTGGAATTCTCTGCCTGAAGAAGTGGTTTTATCAGAGTCCATACAGATGTTCAAACAGCTACTAGATGCATACTTGCAAAAACAGAATATTCAAGGATATAATCTTTCAATGTAGGGTAATAACTGCTTGATCCAAGGATAAATCTAACTGCCATTCTGGGGTCAAAAAGGATTTTTTTTCCTAACTTGTTGCAAAGTTGTGCTTCAAACTGGGTTTTTTTGCCTTCTTTTGGATCAACTGTAAAAACAAATGTGAGGAAGGCTGAACTTGATGGACGCAAGTCTCTTTTCAGCTATGTAACTATGTAACTCCAGCCCTCTCTAGAAGTGGGATGCTGTATCCTGCTATAGAATCCGGCTAAGTAACTTAAAGGACCACTATAGTCACCCAGACCACTTCAGCTCAATGAAGTGGTCTGGGTGCCAGGTCCCCCAGGTTTTAACCCTACAGCTGTAAACATAGCAGTTTCAGAGAAACTGCTATGTTTACATTGAGGGTTAATCCAGCTTCCCCGATGCTCAATGTGAAAATCGCATTGAGCACGCAGAACGTCCATAGGAAAGCATTGAGAAATGCTTTCCTATGGGCGTTTTTAATCCGTGCACAGCTCTGTCCGTGCATGCGCATTTGGCTCCACTCGGGAGCTGATGTCAGAGGGGGAGGAGAGGTGGCCATGCTGGATAAAGGTAAGGGGCTGGAGGGGGGCCCTGAGGGAGGGGGGGACCTAAGGATTATATAGTGTCAGGAAAATGAGTTTGTTTTCTTCACACTATAGTGATCCTATAAGTCCAATCCCATTGAGCCTGAAGGATTCTGTACTTCTGATAGGACAGATCTTATTTGATGTATTTTTTGTTCTAATGGTTTTATTCCCTTGCAGGATCCCACTGAAGAAGTTCAAGACCATCAGACACACAATAAGTGAACATATGTCTATTGAAGAGCTCAGAAGCCGAGCAGCAGAACTTGTAAACTTAAAACAGAATCCAACATCCCCAGTGACGGAATTTCCTGAGAAACTCACCAACTATCTAGATGTGAGTGAAACATTGATATTCCATGTACTTCTCAATTAATGCACCTACATCCAAGAACTGTTTTAATCCCCAAAGTGTGAGGGTGGAACATGGTACGTTTAATTTATTATTAGGATAAATTAATGATTATTGCACAGTTAGGGCACAAATATGTAAGACTCCTGTGCTGGTATAGTCCTCTAGTAAGCCTAGTCTGTGTTCGTTACCTTCACTTCGCACCCTCTATGCTACAATTCTAAAGTAGGGTAAAGGTTTATTACTATCTAGAATAGAATATTTTTACAGATAATTTCAGAATGTATTTTGGCTCTAAGGTTGAGAGAGGGGAATGGTCGTATAATTTAGAAATCTAGAATAAAAATGTAACAAAGTTAGCAAAGTTTTGGAATCTAGGTTAGAGCCTTGGTAATGTTAAATCAGTTGAGGGTTCTAAGAATAGCCTTGGAGTTTAGAACAGACTGGCTGAAGGTAAAGTAGACTTATATGATGTTTAGTACAATATAGTTTATAGTAACAATTACATTTTAAGTATACATCATGGACTGCTATGACACGCAACACAAGAACCTTCCCAGCATCAGTTCCTTTGTGTTTCTTTTAGGCTCAGTACTATGGTGAGATCTCCATTGGTACACCACCCCAGAAGTTTTCAATCCTTTTTGACACCGGTTCCTCCAATCTCTGGGTCCCCTCTGTCCAATGCTCCTTTTTCGACATTGCTTGCTGTGAGTATGATTTCAAAACAAGCGTGCCATAGACCAAACGTTGGTGTCATATTGAATAATGTAATTCTTTCATAACTAAACCACTTCAGATCTGTTTGAATGTTATCTTTATTATTGATTTATCTCTATATCCAGAGCTTAATCAGTGCCATCAATTGTGTTTAAATATGTCTCTGGGTGCTAATTAAGCATTCACTTGGTCAAGTAATTCTCAAGTCATATCAGAACGCGTTATTTGTCCTTTCAGACCATGAATGGGGAATAGATCATCAATCAGGGAAATAGAGAACACTTCACAGTATACCAGCTTCAAGCAGAGACCCATTGCATCTTTACTCCTCTGATCTATGATGGCTTAGATATATGGCTCAGATGCATTTCTGAACTTCATTTAAATTCCATGCTAATGTTGCGGTCTCTGCAAGATTAAAAAAAAAAAATAGGTTACTGAAATAAACACAGGGAATCAAGGCACTTCGAATGTTTCAATGCTCTGTTTTAATTTCACTTTTCAAAAGCTACATGATATAAAATCTAGCCCAAAAAATTTAAATATTGCCATTTTTAATGGGAAAATAACAATAGCCTTTACAACTCTCCCTTAAGCTCTAAGAAAAAAAAACCTTTCCAAATATTCATGTCTGTCTTTAGTAAGATAGTACTAATTGTTGCTAATATTAATTAACAATATTATTGCAATATTATATTGTTGCTCTGTTTGAATGTGGGAGAAGAGGGAGATTGCTGACCTCCCCCACACCCCAGAATAGAGTATAAAGTGCAATACTGTTTTAGTCAGGGGTAGTGATGTCCCGAACGGTTCGCCGGCGAACATAGCGTGTTCGCGTTCGCCACCGATGGCGAACATATGCGATGTTCGGTCCGCCCCCTATTAATTTACTAATACTAAGTAAAAATTACTTAGTATTAGTAAATTGTGCCCCTACTCGCAATACCGCGAGTAGGGGCATGTCTATTAAACAGTGAGCAGCCTGTGGCTGCTCACTGTTTAAAAAAAAAGGGTCCCCCCCCGGTGGGGCCCTAAATACTAATAGGACCTGTTGTCCTCCCCCCGGCCCCCACCCCTGAGCGGTGGGTGGGGCCCTAAAAATACCAATAAGGTGGGGACCTATTGTCACCCCCGGCCCCCACCCCTGAGCGGTGGGTGGGGGCCCTAAAATGAACAATGGGGGGGACTGTTGTCACCCCCGGCTACCCCTGGCCGGTGGGTGGGGCCCTAAAATGAACAATAAGGGGGGGACCTATTGTCCCCCCCGGCCCCCACCCCTGAGCGGTGGGTGGGGGCCCTAAAATGAACAATAAGGGGGACCTATTGTCCCCCCTGCCCCCACCCCTGCGCGACGGGTGGGGGCCATATTGATAATGGGGGGGACCTAATGCCCCCCCCTGGTCCCCACCCCTGCGTGGCGGATGGGGGCCATATTGATAATGAGGGGGGGACCTACTGCCCCCCGGCCCCCACCCCTGCGCGGAGGGTGGGGGCCAAATTGATAATGAGGGGGGGTACCTACTGCCCCCCCCGGCCCCCACCCCTGCGCGGCGGGTGGGGGCCATATTGATAATGAGGGGGGGACCTACTGTCCACCCCCCCTCCGGCCCCCACCCCTGGGCGGCGGGTGGGGGCCATAAAGATAATGAGGGGGACGACCTACTGTCCTCCCCCCCCGGCCCCCACCCCTGGGCTGCAGGTGGGGGCCCTAAGTAAATTCCCCCCCAAGGTGACTAGGGGTCCCCAAGCCCCTAGTCACCCACCCCCCCTAAATAAAAAGTCTCTACCTACCCCCCTCACCCTAAAAAATAGTGAGGGGGGAATAAAATAACTCACCTGTAAAATAAAATTAAACTTACCATTCGACGTCTTCTTTTTTCTCAATCTTCATTTTTCAGCCCCAAAAAAGGCCAAATAAAAAACCATCATAACCGTCGAACTAAAAAAAAAAAAAAATCCAAGAGCGCAAAAAAAAAAACTTCGGCAAAAGAAAAACCGAGCGCAAAAAAATAATCCATCTTCACCCATGGAGGGCTCCGCGCAGACTGAGCTCTGCAGGGCGGGGGAAGGCTTATAAAGCCTTGCCACGCCCTGCAATTAGGCTAAGAACACTCTGATTGGTGGGTTTAAGCCAATCAGAGTGCTCTTTGTCATTTTACACAGCGTGGGAAAATTCAAAAGAACTTCCCCACGCTGTGTAAAATGACACAGAGCACTGTGATTGGATGGCTTTCACGCCATGGCTTTTTTTGCGCTCGGGATTTTTATTTTTTTTATTTTTTTAGTTCGACGGTTATGATGGTTTTTTATTTGGCCTTTTTGGGGGCTGAAAAATGAAGATTTGAGAAAAAAATAGACGTTGAATGGTAAGTTTACTTTTATTTTACAGGTGAGTTATTTTATTCCCCCCTCACTATTTTTTTTTTTTTTAATTCTTTATTTTATTGTGCAGGTTCAACATAATGTCCACATAGCCACAACAGCTTATGTAGTCATACTTTGCAACATATGTTAGTACAGTAGCGGCATATATATATACATAGCACTTTTTATGTATTAATTGTGTAGTTGCGGTGTCGTCTATTGTTTCGGGCATGTCCAAGACCTGGTGGGGTCTGTGGGTACGTCTACTTAGTGATTGTCTTGGACATGGGTTGTGCCCCCTCACTATTTTTTAGGGTGAGGGGGGTAGGTAGGGACTTTTTATTTAGGGGGGGTGGGTGACTAGGGGCATTGGGACCCCTAGTCACCTTGGGGGGGGGGATTTACTTAGGGCCCCCACCCGCAGCCCAGGGGTGGGGGCCGGGGGGGGAGGACAGTAGGTCCCCCCCCTCATTATCTTTGTGGCCCCCACCCGCAGCCCAGGGGTGGGGGCCGGGGGGGGAGGACAGTAGGTCCCCCCCATTATCTTTATGGCCCCCACCCACTGCCCAGGGGTGGGGGCCAGGGGGGGGAGGACAGTAGGTCCCCCCCTCATTATCTTTGTGGCCCCCACCCGCCGCCCAGGGGTGGGGGCCGGGGGGGGAGGACAGTAGGTGTCCCCCCCACATTATCAATATGGCCCCCACCCGCCGTGCAGGGGTGGGGGCCGGAGGGGGCAGTAGGTCCCCCGCCTCATTATCAATATTGCCCCCACCCGCCGCGCAGGGGTGGGGGCCAAGGGGACAATAGGTCCCCCCCTTATTTTTCATTTTAGGGCCCCCACCCACCGCTCAGGGGTGGGGGCCGGGTGGGACATTAGGTCCCCCCCCTTATTTTTCATTTTAGGGCCCCCACCCACCACTCAGGGGTGGGGGCCGGGGGGGGACCATAGGTCCCCCCCTTATAGTTATTAGGGCCCCCACCCACCGCTCAGGGATGGGGGCCAGGGAGGGGACAGTAGGTCCCCCCTCATTATCTTTATGGCCCCCACCCGCCGCCCAGGGGTGGGGGCCGGGGGGGGGAGGTGAGTAGGTCTCCTCCCCCCCCTTCAACCAGTAAGAGTCCCTGTGGGTTTTAAAATTCGCCTGCCCATTGAAGTCTATGGCGGTTCGCCGGGTTCGTCAGGTTCGCGAACATTTGCGGAAGTTCGCGTTCGCCATTCGCGAACCGAAAATTTCACGTTCGCGACATCACTAGTCAGGAGTCTGAATTAGATTTATTTGGACAAAGAGAGACACTTTATTTTAAGTGTTTGAGAGGAGGTGTAACCATAGGGGGGCTGATCTGATTTATTTTAGGCTACTTAACAATTTATGTAACTAAAATGTAATTTAGAGCAAAACCAATGTATCTTATTTACAAAGACTGATTTATAAACACATTTATTGTAGTTCAACCCTTTAATGACATTACGATGTATTATTGCATCCTAACTCTACTGGGCTTCAATGACTTTAGGGCCTAATGACCTGTCCTGCAGATTTAATTCTCTGCTCACACCATGGAATACCAGGTAGCAATGGATACCTAGGGCACCTCACTGTCAGCTGGGGCTATTTTTATTGGCCCCAGACTTTGTCATGAGCCATTTGCAGCCATGGAAGAAAGCGCGGCAAGTAGCTCTTTAAGGACCAAACTTCTGGAATAAAAGGGAATCATGACATGTCACACATGTTATGTATCCTTAAGGGGTTAAATAGACATTTAAATGCTGTTAAATAGATTGTGGTGTGAGCAGGCTTAAATTAATTTATTAGATACCTAGGGCTCTATTAGCTGGGGCCATGTTTATCTGTCCCAGACTTTTTGGTGATCTGCATGTAGTGCTGAAAGTCAGCACTACTTATAGCCCTTTAAATCTATAGATAGCACTGCAACCGAGCAATCAACTCACTGGATCTGTTGATTGGGAGACTCCCAGGATCTTAACAGACCATGGAGGGTCTCCCTCCATGCCACAATGGCATTTTGGTCAGTGCTGAACTTTGTCAGTTGCCAGCACCGATGGGCATACTATATTCAATTGAAAAGATATAAAGCTGTCATACTGAAAATAGCCAGTAGATGGCAGCAGCACATCAATAGCCTGTAGATGGCAGCAGTTTTAACTTAGATTTTCCTTTGCCAATATCAAAACTGATTATTAGCAGATGGAAATGTTTGAAATTAGGATTAAATTAGGGATTAAGATTAGGGATTAAGGTTACATATAAAGACAACGTCACTGTGATCTCTGTTGCTGTGGTGGAGTTATAATATACACTCAGACAAACCAACAATATGGAGCTCCTAGAAAAGAGGGCCATTAGGATAGAGGAACAGATGGATTTGGGTCAAATAATAGGGACTGTCCCTCCTAAATAGGGACACTTTGGACATATACTCTGTTGCCAGATTGCTATATTAATGAGGGTCACTAAACACATTTTCTGTGATTTTGACAGCCAGCATGGATTGGGAGCACCAATACAGCAATTTAACCCCTTAAGGACACAACTTCTGGAATAAAAGGGAATCATGACGGAATATTTCCGTCATCTGTCCTTAAGGGGTTAAACACATGATTTTATTTTACCCTTATAGTCTGTCCATTGATTAAATTTTGAGACAGATTCTAAAACACGCCAGCAAATGGCAAACACTCCAAATCATAAGGTTCAAAACCTGGTAGCTAATTTTGAATCCACCGCCGCTGATTTACATTGAATTCCTTGCCATCAATAATGTTATTTTCAACCTGAGCTTCTGTGACTTTACATATTGCAAAGGACTTTATTCACTAAATGTAAAATTGTAGTTTACTGAAAACCAGAATTAAAAATATAGAAAAAAAAAAAAATGATTTTGAGACTATTATGAAGTTGATTGTGTTTATAATTGATAAACAAAGCAAGCCCTGACCATAAATGAAGTTGTAACTACAAATATTGGTTGGCAGCCTCCTCTAAATCTGAACCAGAGTGTATGAATCTCTTTTGTTTCCACCAAGTGCTCCAGTTTTTATAAAATACATAAAAAGTAGGGACTGCTTTTCCTCATGTATAGGAGCCAAGTTGACAAAACATGACAATGGGCGAAGCTTAAAGCAAGGTTTGGTTTCAATTATCAATCTAATTTACCCACAATCCTCAGTGAAATAATTCCCACAGAAGACAAACAGCAGATATAATGGTGAAAGGAAAACATATGTTGGAACCCCAAACTCACAAATCCCAGTACAACAAATTAAGATAATATACAGTATTACTGGTCCATAGAATGACCGGGTTTAATGTAATAGAATAGTCAGTGATACCCAAGTTCAAGGGCCGGAGATATTTATTAGAGAAAATGGATAACAAGCTCAGAATAAACAAGAAAATGACCCGAGGTAACCAGGAAATAGTAAATATAAAAGCGCTATTGGACTAACAAGAATCACAACAGGGGCAACAAGGGGCATTCAGAGGGGGTTTAAATAGGAAGGACTACTGTTTCATTGGCTTGTGTCATACTCGACAAAACACGCAAGAATGGCAGAATGCCAGTTTGACGTCACTAGTGACCTCATTGAAACTTGAAAGTGGCAAACTCACTTCCATATTCATGTCAGAAGGCTGCTACACAGAAAGCAAATAAGGAGACCTGTTCTGACAGCACTCGGTGTCAGAGTTTCTGACCTGACGGCAATGAAAAGGAGGAATAAGGAAATTTACACAAAAGAAAAATTAAAAATACATGAGAAGGCCATTTTAATACCATGATGGTCCTAGTAAATGTCTGCTAACATTCTATTGTTACTTTGGAAAAAGGTTACAGTTATTTATATTTAATGTATCACACAATTGCTTTGTCTTTTCTGACAATACAGTTCTCTATGATCTTTTACTTTAAATTGATCCTCCTTCATTCTTTTCTTATAACCCAGGGTTTCACAACAAATATAGATCCAAGGATTCCAGCACCTACCGAGAAAATCACACAGATTTTGCTATTCACTATGGAACGGGCAGCCTCACAGGATTCCTGAGTCAAGACACTGTTATGGTAAGTCTTTATGTGCATAACGAGTCCCATATCAGACAACCGACATAATAACATTTGAAATATTGTATTTGATGTGATCAACCATTATATTAGCAATTATAAACAAATGAAAAAAAGATTCAATTTCTCAGTTGATGTATAATAAAAAATGTCACTTGTGGAAGAGATTGTTCCCTAAAATGTCATGGTAACATGGTAGGATACTAATGCTGGAATATATTTGGTCTGCCTTGCGTATTCGCAGTCCCTCCCTGTTCCCTCTCCTCTTTGTAATCGTTGGCTCTGATGATGGAGGTTCAATGGCCATTCTGGGCCTGGCCTGACCTATAATGAAGGATTGGTGACACCGTGGTTCTACACCAGTCCTGTCATAGCAGTTTACTATGTAGTCTCCTTTACATTCCAGTCGTTATCAGAGTATTGTTTTGTGTATACACCTTTATAACAAAAAATGGAAGTATGCATAGGTCAATAAAACCTTTATCAGCCTCTGAAAATAAACACAATGTGCCACAATTTAGGAGGAGGGATCAAAAATATAAAGTAATACAGAATTAAACCATGTGTGTATATCATGCAATCTATATGTAAATCTATACATTGAGTATTGATTGTAGATCCTAGTATTGAAAGCCATTAACTATTTATGTAATCTTGGGATAGAGAGAGAAAAAGTCAAACGAGCCACACACTACTTGCAGTTCACCAACCAGTCTAAAAATAATCTCCTGAAAAATTAATTTTTTAGTTAACCTTCAATAGCATTTACTAGTATAAACAACAACATGCCATGACGAATAACATTGTTTAATTTATTTATAAGAGCCAATGGATATCACCATTTTATGACTCCTTTCTAAACAATGTTCTTCTTTACAGATTGGTGGTCTTAAAATCCAGAATCAAACTTTTGCTGAGGCCATCAAGCAACCTGGTATTGTGTTTGTTGCTGCTCGGTTTGATGGTATCCTGGGGATGGGTTACCCAAATATTTCGGTTGATAGAGTGCTCCCAGTTTTTGACAACATGATGAGCCAGAAGCTGGTGGAAAAGAATGTGTTTTCATTTTACCTGAACAGGTCAGAGACAAGTGCATTTTATTATATTATATAGCTCTGTCATATTCTGCAACTCCATACAATTTGAACATAAAATAAAAACAAAGTCATTTATGAGAGTACACCATGGGGGCCAATGGAAGATCCCTCATGACTGCAAGATCTTACACTATGACACACTGATTGCATATTAATGAACAAGATCCTTTTCCACCCCATCAGTCGTCAAGATGTGGAGATGGAGGCTCTGCCCAGTGCCACCAATAGCCAGTATTTAGTCATTAGACTCATTTCAATGAGAGGCTAATATCGTCTTTGAGTTTTTAATAAAAATTCTCTTTTTGTCAGTTTAGTGACAGTGCAGTTTAATATATTTGTCTCTGAATTTAATTTGCACATTTTAAATTAAAACTTCATTGCTCAAGGCTGGAGCTGACCTCAGTTCATAATGGATAAAATACACACACACAAAAATTAAAAATAATATAAACAATGATAATATCAGACATAAACATGTCAATTTCCCTTTTTTTCTACAAAGAGTAGGAAGTGAACAAGAGGAGGTATGCAGTCGTAGTGCTGTGCGTTTTTTGCATATACCACGACCCAGTTTATTTTACCTTAAAATGCTTGATTCATGACTGTAGTACAAGCCATAAGAGAATGTCACACACATATAGAGCAAGTCATCATAGATAACAGACAGCTAGGGGAAAGTACTGCTTCATATTATGAATTCACTGAATGTGGTGGTGTTGAGAGTTGTGTTCTATATTACAAGAATATAAGAAGATGATCAAATGTGCTCAAAGCAGATTATAGGCAACTGGCATAGATTGTGACTGTACTTGGAGTTATATTATACAGACAATAAAAGGAGACCGAAAGGAAGGTGTTATCTAAGTCTCCATGTACTCATTAGAGCCTTGCCAGTCATGCATGGGTTACTGTGGTTTTCTGCCTTGTGAACATATAACTGGTGTGAATTAAAAGGACACTCCAGACCCCTAAAGCAGTTAAAGGAACACTTTAATTTTAGGAATACATATTTGTATTTCTAACACTATAGTGTCCCTATGCCCCTGTTAAAAAAAAAAAAAAAAACCTCTTTCACTTACCTTCTCCTCTGCTAACGGCAGCCAATAGAGGGAATCTCTTGTGCATGTGCGGTGAGCACCACGCACGCATTAGGTCTTCCCCATAGGAAATCATTGCCTCATTGAGCTGCAATTGGAAGTCAGTGATTGGACAGCTATAAAAACTCTGGGCGGGTTTAGAAGGGGAGGGCTTGCAAAGGCAGCAGACATTGACAAGATGTCTTGCAAGCTGTTTTTAGATATAAGATAGGATATAATTAAATGCATGCATGTTCATGGATATATCAACAAAACCTGTGATTTAAATTTTTTATTTTTATTTTGGCAGTGTAGTGTCCCTTTAACATCCACCCCTACATGGTTAACTTATTAGATTCCATTGTTTTTAATCAAGGGACCCGGAAGCAGCAGTTGGAGGGGAGCTACTGTTGGGAGGTACCGATCCAAAATACTACACAGGAGACTTCCATTACCTGAATGTTACCCGCATGGCTTATTGGCAAATCAAAGCAGACGAGTAAGTAACAAATATTGTTTGTTCCAGTATGGCTTTACATGTACAAAAATACAAACAGCAACAAAAAGTGTGGTGTATTCAGATTTGTGCATTTAATGTATGAAAAACCACCAGTGTTAAAAATATTAATCAAATAGCTTATATTCAATACAATTAAGGACCTTAACAACTCATGTATAGGCATCACAATGATCCAAATGTAAAGTAGTATCTTCCAAACTTTAATCACTTTAAAAACATACAAAAATATAACAGAGTAAAATCACACAAACCAAAGAAATAAAAAGGATAATATAGTTACATAGTTACATAGTTACATAGCTGAAAAGAGACTTGCGTCCATCAAGTTCAGCCTTCCTCGCATGTGTTTTTTTGCTGTTGATACAAAAAAAAGGCAAAAAACCCAATTGGAAGCACTTCCAATTTTTCAACAAACTAGGAAACAAATTCCTTCTTGACCCCAGAATGGCAGTCAGATTTATCTTTGGATCAAGCAGTTATTACCCTACATTGAAAAATTATGTCCTTGAATAATCTGTTTTTGCAAGTATGCATCTAGAAGCTGTTATGGACTCGGAGAAAATCACTTCTTCAGGCAGAGAATTCCACATCCTTATTGTTCTTACAGTAAAAAAAACCTTTTCTTTGCCTTAGACGAAATTTCTTCCAGACTAAACACATGACGTCATGTCCTATGTAAAGTCCGGTTTGTGAATAGATTTCCATACAACGGTTTGTATTGGCCATGAATATATTTGTATAATGTTATCATTAGTGATGTCCGAACGGTTCGCCGCGGACTCATCATTGAGTAAACTTTGACCCTGTACCTCACAGTCAGCAGACACATTCCAGCCAATCAGCAGCAGACCCTCCCTCCCAGACCCTCCAACCTCCTGGACAGCTCACTAAGAATGTAAAATGGATGCTGTCCAGGAGGTGGGAGGGTCTGGGAGGGAGGGTCTGCTGCTGATTGGCTGGAATGTGTCTGCTGACTGTGAGGTACAGGGTCAAAGTTTACTCAATGATGAGTCCGTGGCGAACCGTTCGCGAACCGTTCGGGACATCACTGGTTATCATATCCCCTCTGAGGCAACGTTTTTCTAAACTAAAGAGGTTTAAATATGTTAACCTTTCTTCATAGCTGATATGTTCCATTCCTTTTATTAATTTTGTAGCCTGCCTCTGCACTTTTTCTAGTGCCATAATATCCTTCTTTAGAACAGGTTCTCCAAACTGCACAGCATATTCAATAAGTGGTCTTACCAGTGATTTATAAAGAGGCAAAATTATATTCTCCTCCCGAGAATGAATGCCCTTTTTCATCCATGACATATATGGCACTCACAAACACTGAGCCACTAACAGTGGCCAGAAGAACACGTGGATAGGTCTGAAAGACCTCCAATATTCAGCTGAGAATTGTTCCAGTGACATGTCCAGTGTCTTCTCTTCTTATCTGCTTAGATTCCACGTTCCTTGCCATAGGGGGAATCTTCTTTCCTGGTGACTGATCAATGTTCAGGCTGGGGTGTATCAGGTCACATCATTTGTGTTTGCGAGATTGACAGACTTCCTTGAGTCCAACTCTCTGCTAGACCCGCTTTAGTCTGGTTTCCGCGCTAAGCACTCTGTGGAAACGGCACTGACCAAAGTATCCAATGATGTACTCGCTGCAAAATCTCGTGGTCACTACTCTATCCTAATTCTCCTTGACCTGTCTGCGGCCTTTGACACTGTTGATCATCAACAGCTTCTTCTCATCCTCCGCAATATTGGTCTACAAGATATTGCTCTCTCCTGGTGCTCCTCCTACCTCTCCCAGCGCTCTTTCAGTGCTTCTTTCTCTGGCTCTGCTTCTTGTCCCCAACTCCTCTCTGTTGGTGTCCCCCAAGGTTCAGTCCTTGGTCCCCTACAGTTCTCCATCTATACTGCCTCCCTTGGTAAACTCATTAGCTCCTTTGGCTTCCAATATCATTTCTATGCAGATGACACGCAAATCTACCTGTCCTCTCCTGATCTCTCCCCGTCCCTCTTGATTAGTATCTCTGACAGCCTCTCTGCTGTTTCTAACTGGATGGCTGCCCACTTTCTTAAACTAAACTTGACCAAAACTGAAATTCTGATCTTTCCTCCCTCAAATGTTGTTACTCCTGTGTCTATCTCCCTCCAAGTCAACGGTGCTACCATCAGCTCCACCACGCAGGCTCGCTGCCTAGGTGTTCTCTTTGACTCCGACCTCTCCTTCAAGCCTCATGTTCAATCTATCGCCAAATCCTGTAATTTCCATCTCAAAAACATTGCGCACATCCGCCCCTACTTAACGCCAGATGTGACTAAGGTGTTGGTCCATTCCACTGTCCTTTCTCGCCTTGACTACTGTAATCCGCTTCTCAGTGGTCTTATGTGCTCCTAACTTGCGCCGTTACAGTCCATAATGAATGCGGCGACGAGGCTCATCTTCCTGTCCGCCCGCACCTCCCATGCCTCACCCTTCTGTCAGTCCCTACATTGGCTTCCTATAAAATATAGAGCTCAATTTAAAATTCTGGTTCTTAATTTCAAATCTCTACATAATGCTGCTTCCACCTATCTATGCTCCCTTATACAAAAGTATGTCCCGTCTAGGCCCTCACGATCTGCTGAAGACTTACGTCTATCTTCTGTCCGTACTCCCACCTCTGATGCTCGCCTTCAAGATTTCTCGAGGGCTGCACCGTTCCTGTGGAACTCGCTTCCCTCCTCCGTTAGATGCTCACCCAGTCTCCACTCCTTCAAAAAATCATTAAAAACCCACATCTTCATAAAAGCGTATCAATTAAACTGTTAATAGCTCCTGACTGATTCCTCTTCTGCAACTGTCACTAGTCTAATACTATCCTTACCTTTTTGTGTCATTTTATCCCACTCCCTGTAGCATGTAACTCATTGAGCAGGGCCCTCAACCCCTCTGTTCCTGTATGTCCAACTTGTCTGGTTACAACTACATGTCTGTTCGTCCACCCATTGTAAAGCGCTGCGGAATTTGACGGCGCTCTATAAATATCATAATAATAATAATAATAATCAATGCTCCAAATCCGACCAGTTTCATCCTTTAAGACTTTATCAAGGAACAGCTTGTTTGTGATGGTAAAAAGTCCAGTCTTTTAACCCCTTAAGGACCAAACTTCTGGAATAAAAGGGAATCATGACATGTCACACATGTCATGTGTCCTTAAGGGGTTAAACCCATCCTATCATAGTTCAATTGGCTATACCACGTTTCCTATTAAAACTTCCATATATGGTTATAAGAAAAGCTCAACTGGAATGGGTGTAAATTATATGATATAAAGGGTACTGGGTGCTCTTAAGGAAAAAAATCTGTTCACCCACCGGATATATAAACACACAGAAAATAGAGAATAGATCCAAGGCACACCAAAATTTGCACATACAAATGTTTTTATTAATGCAATATAGTTTAACAGAATGAAAAGTACATAAAGCTGTGCAAAATATGATAGAGCAATTGTTCCAGAACCACTTAAGAATAACAGTAAAGTGCTAAAAGTTATTGCATACACCCATAGAATATGATTTACTAACCAAGAGCAAGAGAAATGACAGCCCCGACGTTTCGGCCCTTAAGCCTTCCTCAGGGCGACCTCTCCCCCTGAGAAAGGTTTAAGGGCCGAAACATTGGGGCTGTCATTTCTCTATTTCCTATTAAAACTTCAACTCTAACTTCCAGTCATTGTTCATGTGCCTTCTTGAACGTCAAATTATTACGTTTTACTTGGTCAGTGCAGCAGTAGTGCCCCTAGTGGCTGTCAGGGTTCCAGCCATTAGACATGTGTTTAACCCTTCAAGTTAAACATTATCAGTTCTGCAAAATGGCAATTTGTGAAGGGTTGAGATGACAAGACCACTTCACCCAGGCTACTTCATTGAGATGAAGTGGCCTTGGTGACTTTAGTGATCCTTTCACGCTCAACTTCCTGCTAAACCGCTGTGTAACATATAATAAAACTCCCCTGGAACCGGAGACTCTCATTTTGGTTCCACAGATATTGATACAACAGGGTCTCATTATATTCTTGTTTTGCTCCATAAAACACAAATCATTAAATTGACCACACATTTAAAAAAATAAAAAGCCTGTTTGAATGTCCAACACAAGAATTGTATAGCATTCATTCACGAAGTAACAGATGTAGTGAATAGAAAGTCAAATTGCAAGATTTAGGCCAAAATAGAAAGTTTGAATACCAAAATTCAAGCCATGCGGTGACTATAAAAGAATTGGCAAATTGTTCCAGTTTTCAATTTACCACTATTGCTTGCTTAGTGAATATACCCACGTGTGTTTTAATTATCTTCATTCTGAGATATATACCATTATTTAACATCTGGAGTAAATTTAAACCTCATTCACAAATAGGGATGTGCATGGGCCAAAAATTTGGTTCGGTTCGGAAATTTGGGTAAGTAAAAAATTTTGTCTGCTTCGGCAATTCGGACCAATGGCGTTCGGTTCGGCACTTCAGAACTACCGAACTTCAGCAATTCGGAAATTCGGAACCATCTAAATGTCCTAATTGCATGAAACAAATTGCACATGTCTAGTAAGTGGTTGTGGTGGCAATCCTGGGCAACCCTTACCCTGAGCCCTAACCCTAAACCCTAACCCTCTCTCTTGTTTTGCCACTTTTCAGAAATCCAAAGCACTTTAGAAATTCGGCAATTTGGAACTTCGCAATTCAGTTTGGTTCGGCACTTCCGAACGACTGAACTTCGGAAATTTGGACATTCGTAAGCACCCGAAAGTCCAAATTGCATGAAATTTGTCTGAATGTACATTTGTAACGAAACAAATTGCACATGTCTATACACAAAGCAGCTATTCAAAGAAGGTCTCCGGCTTGTACAATATATGCAGGTGAAGGAATTTTTTTTCCCTGGAGAATCCAATTTGCCCTCAGAGAGTAGCGCATTATGGCCTGCTTAAAAAAAAATACATCCTTTTTCACTGTGGATGAGTGCTTGAGAGACTATAACAAATTGATTTTGGCATCTACAGACCTCATTGAAAAGGTTTAATTCCTGTTTTATAATAGCCTGAATTTCAGTTTCTCCAAAAGAATTTTTATTTAAAAAAACAACAACTTTTTTTGTCAATATTCTCTTTTTTTTCTAATTTTTTACTTCTGCTTCATTAGCCATTTCTTCTGTCTCTACTTCACAAACTGCAGTGTATCCATTTTTTGTTTGAAAACTTTTGCTGTATTGTAAAAGCATTACACATATTAACTAGTGTTTCATTCCCCTATGATCAATCTCAGGTGACTGTGTTACACCGCATGATGGATTCCATGTGTGTGGCTCCTGCAATACAATGTTGTTCAACATAGCTTCCAAGTGCATTTCGTTCATGCAATCTGAGCTTTATCATGCTATTGATAAAGCTCAAAATGTACTAACGAAACATGTTTGGAAGCTCTAATGAGCAACATTGTATCGTTAGGAGACATGCAAAGGCAAGGGACAGGGAATATAGCAGCTGTTTATCTGTTGGCTTTTTTTTTGTAAACACAGCAAATAATTACTTTTTTTGTAGCGTATATTTACACAATTAAACATTCATGCACACATACTCGTCATATGTGTATAAACATGCATGTCTACACAAATACACTCACAAATGCATATACTTATATTTATGCTCGTACATTCAAGGTATCCCAGTGGGTCCTAGTGATGGTTATTTAAATAATCTAGCTTAAAAAAGCCTCAAGTCCATCAAATTCAGCCTTTCACACCGAATTCATTTCAAAATACATTTGTATTGCTGCTCTCTACTGAAAAGAGGGAGAAACCCCCATTGATTTTAAATTGTGATGAAAATAAGGGACACATGTTCCTTCTTAACTTCAGTACAATATTTCCTGGAATCCATAAACTGTTACTTCACATATTAACAGTTATATTTTCAATAGTCTCATTTAAAAAGTAATAATAAAGATTTATTATACCTTTATATACTAAATATCTTATATTGTTTTTCCAGTATTCCATTCTTCAGTCTTATATTGTTCCCCTATTACAATTTATATGCCAGTTATGAACTTACTGTATCTCCTCTCTGCTGAAATATAAAGTGCTAAGTATACCATGCTAAGTATACCTTTTAATACCATGTAACAAAAAATATACGTACGTACATACATTGAGTCTCCAAGGTTCCAAGTATTGGTCTTTCAATTGACCTAGCCACCATCTGACTGATATATAGGTTGCTCAGTAAATCTCCATCTTCAAACCACTTGATGCTACACAATGGATCCTAAATCCTTTCCCTTTTCATAGTTTATCAAAAAATAAACAATTAAGCATCATAAATTATATTTGGCATTTTTCTCTCCCCAGGATCAAAGTGGGCAGCCAGCTCACACTCTGTAAGGGAGGCTGCCAGGCGATCGTGGACACTGGAACCTCTTTAATTACTGGGCCTTCAGAAGAGATCGGAGCCCTTCACAGAGCAATTGGAGCTTTGCCACTCTTCAATGGAGAGGTTGGTATAATTACATTTTCGAAAATGTGCATTTAGCTCAATGACCATTTAGCCTGTTAATGAACATTGAAATGTCAGTGGTATGGAATCTTCCCTTCCTATTCCCCTTGATTACTAAACTAAATTATAGAATTGTGATCCAGAGAAGGCTGACAAGATTCCAAAAACCAAATGGGACAAAATCATCTGACTGCATATGGGGCCATTAGGACTGCAAAATATGGACAGTGTTCATGGAGTTCAACAATGTCCAGATTTTGTAAATCAGGCCCCAAACTGGCCTGAATATAGTCTGGCTATCAGCCAAACATGGCATGGCTGAAATATGGACCAAATTAATTAATTAATTCCAGACTTGTAGACTTTAACTCCGGACTTAAAAAAAATCCAAACTATTTGCCCGCTGGCAGCGCTATCAGAGACACAGGTTAATTTTGTGGTGACAGACCAGCGCTTGGAGCCTGTTAAATAACAGGGGAAGACATATCCCCCCCATGCACATACCAGTGGGCCTTGGGTGGGGACTACTTTAAATTTTAAGGGGAGGGACCTATTGTCCCCTCTCCTGGCCTCCACCCATGCCGGCAGGTGTGGGCACTAATATTTATAATACATGGGGAAGGACCTATTTTCTCCTCCCTCTAATTAATAAAAAATAGGGGGGTTGTTGGACATGCCAATGTCCAACCCTTCTAAATAATAGTAAGCCCCCCTCAAGTGGCTAAGGGTCTCCAGTCCCCTAGCTACCCCCTAAAATAAAGTCCCTTTCTACCGTTTATCACCCTATTAATATCGAGGGGGCCAAAAAATAAAAACAGGCCACAACTAAAAATATTCCACCCATGGATGGGTTCACCCATGGATGGCTTACCACAGAATGAATTCTTATAGCATGGAAAGCCCTTATATAGGGCTATGACGGCTAATGCAAAGTGTGGGAAAATATAACCAAGACATCTCTTGATTGGATGGCTAGTAAACCAATTTCAACCTATATAAGGGCTTTCCCTGCCATGATCACTTATCCTGCCTTTGGCCTTTTTCCGGGGCTTAAGAACAGAAGAATTTAAAGAAAGAAGTCTTCGAATGGCAAGTATAGTTATTCTTATTATATATATATATTTTTTACAGGTTTTAGATTGAGTGGCCATATCCTAACGATTGGGTACCCATAACCGGGGGAAAGGTCTCTAATATTTCGGAGAGGCATGTTCACTCCTCCTATTTTATAATTAATTAGCTCCACCATCTGCCAGGGTGGGGGCTGCAGGAGGGGTCAATAGGCTCCCCCCTTTATATTACTTCCCCCCATCGCCCATGTGTGGAGGCCAAGTGACAAGACAAGAAGTCCACCCTTTATTAAAAATATTAGGACCCCTACTATCGCCTATGTTTGGGGGTGAACACTAGGTGATCCCCCATTAATATTTCAGGTATCCCCTACTCGATGCTCACAGGTGGGTGCACAGCGGGAGACTATGTCGCTCTCCCGTTATTTTATTTTATAGAGATTATATTAATATGGTGGTTTCATTGACCCTCATAAGATTTCAATTTGTTTATTTTTTTAAATTTATTTAACTTTTTTAATGTGGCAGCTGACTAGCAAAGCAAGTGCTGGCCAGCCACCACATACTTAACACTTGCGCTTTTGCAGACAAGTAGTTCTTCAAATTATTATTTCATGATAATTTGCAAGCGTGTATCCTTTCAAGATGCATTCAGGTTTATCATCAGCTGCCATGCAATCGTTGATAAATCTCTGATTCTGGTGCTCTATATTAGTTTGGTTGCAAAAATCAACAATTTCCTGAATGCATGTTACGCAATCAGTTGGACTGACCGAATACTGACTGCATTTGGCTCTATTAAATCTGAGAATTTTCAATGTGGTCAGAATGCTGTCATTGTCACTGGATTTTGTCCATATGGAATAATCCTGACCATATTTAAATAAGAGGTGAGTAGCCAAATCTTAAATACATGCGTGGGGGTAAACATTAATAGAATCTCACCTTCCGAAGATATTTTTAAATCATAATACAGGGGGGTCATCACATTCCTGGAATTCACACCATTGAATAAAACCCTGAAAATCATATTTAGCAATTGGGTTCCAGAATCCAGTTTCGTACTGGCACAGACAGGGCTGGAAAAAAATAGGAACATTTTTTTCTTGTTTCTCCTCCTCAGCATACTTTGTTTAAGGACAGAAAAGGACAATGATTGACACGATGCAGCCACTCAGGTCAGGACAGACTAAATATAGTGGTTTGAATTTCTACAATTCAATTTATTTCTAAGACCTCTCAAACACATATTTGTTGAAAATATTTCAATTCCTGGGATGTGACAGGTCCCCTTTAATAAACAAAATTGGAGAAATTCAATTGAATAGCTAATTGTGCATTATACATAATATAGACAAAAACAGCACTTCTCATTTTGCTAGCCACAAAACTGACCACTTTTTAACTGTTATGGATGCATGGTTCTGATAACAACAGAATTGTATTTTTTTCTAACAATATAAATAGCAATCACCCAAGAGGGATGCATTCAAGTTTTAATCTGTTGGCACTATAACAATGGTAATAATATATAAATATATGGCAATAATAATAAATAATGTATTCAACTCTGCTTAATTGCATTTTGCCTGTATTATAAAATGTGTTGTTAATTTTCACCAACACTATATATTCTTAAAATGTAATTAAGTTAGATGAAAATGGCTGTGTATATATATATATATATATAAAAAATACCAATAGCTCCCGCACTCACGCTCCAATTACCCTTGTTGCCCGGGTGCCAGCAAGTAATAGCCGTCCATACAAAAATCCAACGAATTGCTGCACTCACGGTGAATAAAAATCCAAGTTTATTGAAAATAGATTAAAACATCTAAGACCAACGTTTCAGTCCTATCAGGACTTTCCTCAGGATCAAAGAGATGAAAAACAGTATATACAACATACAAGACTTTTATACATAAAACTATTAAGTGTATTAGCTTACCCCAGGTGAAACCGCCATTCAATCGGCGTCCTGACTCGCTCTGTGCGCATGTGCGAGTTGGCTCCGCCCCCTGCCGCGACGTCATAGCGTCATCGCGTGATCGCGGCTAAATTGTTGCCTTGGCGACGTTGTCAAACATAGCATCACCATGGACAACCAAACGCCGGCAACCTGACCGGAACGGTAGTTGCCCTGGTGATGCCAGAAAACAAAAGATCGCCACAGTTAATGTCTTCAAAGGGGGGTGGAGCCAAATACCAAAAATACTAAACCAAAAAACATGTGAATAAAAATAATAATAATAATAATAAATATCATGTATACAAATATGAACGAGCTTTATATTATATCTGCTCAGTTCATTGTAAAATGCCAACATTATCAGTGTAAATAAAGTGCATAAAAACATCCATATGTTCATCTTATTGGGGAATCAGTGCATATAACTGAGTGTAATGTTCATAAAGATAAAGTGTGATATAAATCTCATTTGCATAACAATCCATATTTGGATAATTTAAAGTGACATGCAATACAATCCATATTTAGATATTTTAAAGTGACAGTGCATAAGTATGTAAAGTGCAAACTATCAATAGTAAAAAAGTGCAGTAAGTGCTGGTGAAAAAATATTATATGGTGTATTGTGTAAAAATAGATCTATTCTCTTTCAAAACCCCACATATAAAAGAAAAAAATATATACCTGATAACATTGATACTAATATACTAACATAATAACAATACATGTACACTTATAAAAAAATCCAAACACTGAAGAGATGCGATCAAGGTTACCTAAAACATCATATATTGAGGGTTGATACTACAACTCCTCCTGTTAATCATATATAATGATTAAACATCTTTCTATATAATGGGCTATGTTCATTTAGCCTTACTGATTAAAGTGCCCAAAAAATGTTTTGTACTTAATGGCATATCTCAGCGTTCATATCTTAAAATCAAAATGCCAATAGCTGGGGTAATAACTCGGTTATGGCTATGCATATAAATATATTACATAACTCAAGTCATTATGACAAACCTCACTTGTCGTTAAACCTATTATAAGAATGAATGAAACGAGATATATTCATTCAAACCCTTTGGGTAAACTGTGTCCAATTCAAAAATCCAAAATGTCTCTCTGTTTAATAGCAATTTGCCCCTGTCTCCGGCCCGTCTTGATGCTGGAATATGGTCGATTGCTATGAATTTCAGTGTGGTTAATGGATGATTAAAATCAAAGAAATGTTTCGCCACTGGTTTGTCCGATCCACCATCCCTGTAGGCCAATCTAATGCTGGATCTATGACCCCTTATTCTTTCACAAAGCGCTGTTTCAGTTTTACCAATATACACCAACCCACATGGACATGTGAGTTTGTAAACAACATGAGTAGTTTTACACGTAATGGTACTCCGAATTGTATATTTCTTGTTGGTGTGTGGGTGTTGGAAAGACTTAGATGGGGTCATATGTCCACATGTTACACACCCGAGGCAGCGCACACTGCCCCGGCATTGTATTGTAACATTATCGGCATAACTTAGGATAGGGTCAGTATGGACCAACATGTCCTTTAGATTTTTATTCCTCTTGAAGCAAACTAAAGGTTGTTCCGAAAAGACTTTAGGGAGGGTGTCGTCCGCTGCCAGTATTCTCCAATTTTTTCTGATGGCGGAGGAAATTTGACCCGTTGATTGGTGGAACGTAGTGGGGAAAACCATTCTTTGTGGTGTCGCTGTCACCCTAGGTTCCCGAGGGGCCCTAGCCTCTCTTAATGCTTTATCAAGGGTGGAGCGGTGGTACCCCCGTTCCAAAAATTTATTAGTCATATCAATCAGTTGCTTCTCTTTGATGTTCTCATCAGAGTTGTTTCTCATCACCCGCAGATATTGGGCCTTTGGGAGAGAGTCCTTCAAACCTTGTGGGTGAGCACTATGTGCATGGAGGAGGGTATTGCGGTCAGTGGCTTTCGTGAACAAGCTATATTCCAATCTGTCTGTACCTATGGACAATTCAACATCCAAGTATTGGACTTTATCCGTACTGATGTTCGCCGTCATTCTTATAGGTACTGGAAGTTTGTTAAGTTCATCGACCATATTGTGTGCTTCCATTATGGTACCGTTCCAAATGATCAAAAGATCATCAATGTAACGGTAATAGCCTTGTATTAAATGGCCATATGGTAACAAGATGTGTTTCTGTTCATACACATACATGTATGCATTTGCATACATGGGGGCCATTGCCGCCCCCATCGATGTGCCTGATATCTGCAAGTACCACTGGTTTTCAAAACGAAAGTAATTGCGTTCCAAAGTGATTGCCAAAATTTCCAGTACAAATTCAATAGGTGGACCATGGTACACTGTCGATGCCGTAAGTACTTGTCGCATGGCCTCAACACCTTCATCATGCGGGATTACGGTATATAGGCTCTTCACATCCATGGTAATTAGCAAAGGTTTAGTTTCCATAAATGAAATCTCCTTAATTTTATTCAGGAGCATGGGTGTGTCTTTTATACAAGTGTCCAACTGCTCAACCGTCTGTTTAAACAAAAAATCAAGCCACTTAGCTAAAGGTTCTAAAATTCCTTTAATCGCGGACACTATTGGACGTCCCGGAGGCTTCTGAGCATCCTTGTGGATTTTTGGGATGCTGTAAATAATAGGAGTTCGTGGATTTTTTTGATTCAAATATTGAAATAAATCTAAGTCTATATATCCGGCTCTCAATCCCATAGACGATATATCATGTATCACGCTCTGAAACTCCTGAGTAGGGTCTTGGTCCAGGGGAAGGTAGACATTTGGATCGTGTAATTGGCTTTTTAGCTCGTTGGCATAATCAGAGTAATTCATAATAACTATTCCACCTCCTTTATCCGCGGAGCGTATAATTATAGATCGATCCTCAGCCAAATTCTTAATAAGTTTGCGTTGACGTTTTGTGACATTATGTCTCCTATTGACAGGGTTACACATTGTTGACTTTGCATCTTTGTTGGTCAAGGATAAAAAAGTTTTGATTGAAGCTTTATTAGTGGGTGGGTCAAATGTTGAATTCAGACGGAATTTCTCTTTAGTTCCATGGTTGGTATCAATTGCATTAGATCCGCTTTTGCAGAAATATTCTTTCAAACGAAGGTTTCTTCCAAACTTAAACCACTCCACTTCCCATTTAAATGGATTCACGTCCGCTGTGGGGACAAATGATAATCCATGGCTTAATAAGTCAGATTCTTCTTGGATAAGCGGTCGGTGGGATAAGTTGAAAATCGGAATTATTTCCTGAGTGGTGGCTTGCCCTTTAACACCCCTTTTGGTATGCCCCCCTCTCCTGGTTCTGCGGTGCCCCTTACGCGACTTCTGGTAGAAGTTCCCATTTCTGGGGTCTCTAAAAAAAGAGGGGTATGCGGTGTGGGTTCCTTCATATCATTCTCAGAGGCCGATTCCCCGGATGTAGTGTCAATAGTTACAATTCGGGGCTTGACAATTCTTTTGCGTTGCCTCCTTGGCCTCTGAGTGCCATTGCCGGACAGCCATCTATAAACCCTGTGGTCCAGGTAGTCCTGTTGGACTCTCTCGAATTTCTGCTTTTTGAATCTAATCAATTCGTTTTTATATTTCTGCAATTCCTCATGGAGCTTTTGTGACAATTTCTGTCCTTCCACTGAGGCCAATAATATGGCATGTTCATTCTCCACCTCCAAGATCTTTTTCTCCACATCTATCAAATCCTCTTTCACATCTTTTATTATGATAAGCATCATATCCAATGATGCCTTGTTCAAAACCATAGTCCATTCCTTGCAAACCTTAGCTTTTCCCCTTCCAATAGTTGGTACATTAAGTACTCTAAATCCTCTGGGAATCCTCTTTGCCTTGTAATAGTCAGAGAGAAATAATCCATGCATATCTAAATCGATCTGTTTCCTCCGTAATTTAGACAATTTGAAATAAACATCCTTAGCGGATAAGTGATGTGGAAGTTCCAAACCAGTTTGTTCCCATAAAATATTCTCCGCTTCTTCCTGGGAGAACTGCATAGTATCTGCCTGTTCCGAGTATGCCCCAGCTTGGAACAAAAATTCATCCATGCTTATAGTTTAGTGAATAAGCCAAAAAATAATAGAAAATAGCAAAAAATGTCCTTATGGTCAAATAAAGTGCAGGGTTCCAAAGCTATCTACACATACAGTGTCAAAATGCTAAGGTGCTGGTGCCAGGAGGGGGTTAAGGCCAATAACCCTATAGACAAAAAATACCAATAGCTCCCGCACTCACGCTCCAATTACCCTTGTTGCCCGGGTGCCAGCAAGTAATAGCCGTCCATACAAAAATCCAACGAATTGCTGCACTCACGGTGAATAAAAATCCAAGTTTATTGAAAATAGATTAAAACATCTACGACCAACGTTTCAGTCCTATCAGGACTTTCCTCAGGATCAAAGAGATGAAAAACAGTATATACAACATACAAGACTTTTATACATAAAACTATTAAGTGTATTAGCTTACCCCAGGTGAAACCGCCATTCCGCCAATAAGATGAACATATGGATGTTTTTATGCACTTTATTTACACTGATAATGTTGGCATTTTACAATGAACTGAGCAGATATAATATAAAGCTCGTTCATATTTGTATACATGATATTTATTATTATTATTATTATTTTTATTCACATGTTTTTTGGTTTAGTATTTTTGGTATTTGGCTCCACCCCCCTTTGAAGACATTAACTGTGGCGATCTTTTATTTTCTGGCATCACCAGGGCAACTACCGTTCCGGTCAGGTTGCCGGCGTTTGGTTGTCCATGGTGATGCTATGTTTGACAACGTCGCCAAGGTAACAATTTAGCCGCGATCACGCGATGACGCTATGACGTCGCGGCAGGGGGCGGAGTCAACTCGCACATGCGCACAGAGCGGGTCAGGACGCCGATTGAATGGCGGTTTCACCTGGGGTAAGCTAATACACTTAATAGTTTTATGTATAAAAGTCTTGTATGTTGTATATACTGTTTTTCATCTCTTTGATCCTGAGGAAAGTCCTGATAGGACTGAAACGTTGGTCGTAGATGTTTTAATCTATTTTCAATAAACTTGGATTTTTATTCACCGTGAGTGCAGCAATTCGTTGGATTTTTGTATATATATATATATATATATATATATATATATATATATATATATATATCAATAGGGCTATAGTTCATCTTCAACTATACATCCAATCTTTAAATATTTTCCCAGGATTCCTTATGAAAAACATTTCCAGTATGAATTAATTACCTTCTTTCCTTGGGTCCTCAGGGTGCCACTCCCATCTCCACCACTTCCAACGAAGATCCAGGAGCTCCTAAACCGAAACATCAGTTTGTTCTCCTGAGCTAAACACTTCAGCGCAGAGAGCTGAGAGCAACAGTTGATCCCTCTCAGCCAATGAGCTAAGCCCTGCAAAGCTCAGCTTAGTTCAGACACAGACTCAGATTCTCTCTAAGACATCAAACTGTTCTAAAATAGCTGGGGCACTGGGGAACTCCTAACCTCATAAGTATGCTGTAGTTGTTATGGTGTTTGACGTCTGACCCTGCTACATTACCCTGTCCTCAAAAATCTTAATGTTTGAAACAATCCAAATAGAATATTATAGAACCCTGTGTATGGATTCCTGCAAACTGTATTAATATATTTCTGTATATTTATTTGTTTTAGTACATGATATTGTGCGATAAGATTGCTTCTCTACCTACTATTTCATTCACTCTGGGAGGAGTTCAGTACAACCTAACAGGGTCACAGTATGTACTAAAGGTAAGACCCACATTATCCATTGATCCAAATGTGCACATATGGTTCATATAAAACATAACGTTTGTCCCATTATTTGTTTTTAGTAAAGGCTGGTTCATTTGTGACTTTCGAGTGAATTGTTCTTTTAACTGACACATGCACTTGACTTATTTTAAGAATAATTTAATGTTTTATATCATGTGTCTGGGCTTTTAATTTTATTGTAGTTTGATAGTGTTTGATATGCTTTTATAAATGCTTTCCTGCAGGATGTATAGGGATTTAGCTGTTGTTATCTTTGCTTCAGGCAACAGGCTTGTCTTAAGTTTTAAGGGTTAGTAGCGGCCAGTTGGATATTATTTATGTTTGAAACATTTTTTATTTGGAATTTTCATCGGGTTGAGCAGACAAAGGAACAAAAAATATTCCAGTCAAGAAGACATGAAAAACAACAACACATCTTGTCACTGGTTCTGAATGATGCCATCAAGCTCAGGGCCGGCCTTAGGCCATTAGGCGCCCTGTGCGAAAAGTCTGCACGGCGCCCCCCCCCTTACCAAGTTGCCTGTATACAGTCACACAAACAGTTAAAGGCAAACAATCACACACACAGTTACAGGCACACAGTCATTCACACAGTTACAGGCACACAGTCATTGACACTCTATTACAGGCACACAGTCATTCATACTCTATTACAGGCATGCAGACACTCACGCACATTGATAGGCACACACACACTCAGTTAAAGGCAGATAGTCACACATACAGGCACAGCTACAGCGTCACACAGGCAGGCAGAGAGTCACAGTCACACACACACACAGACTTACCTCGTTCCATTATGGCTGGAATGGGGAGTGGATTCAATTGGTTGTTGGGGAAGCAAGGGCTCCTTCCTTCCTCCCTCTTCCTGTGCAGGGGCTTCGGGTAGGTATTAGCCCTGCCTCCTCCTCGCGGTAAGCCCCACCTCATTATAAGCCCCGCCACCTCGATTTAAAAAAAAAAATTTTTTTATAGACCCGGGTGGATAATAATTAATCCTCCACCCGGGTACCTGTTTTATCTCCCCTGACACCAGACATGTGCAAGCTGTGTTGGCCACATGGCGCCCCCGGTCCATGGCGTCCTGTGCGGCCGCACAGCTCACACACTCCTAAGGCCAGCCCTGATCAAGCTTCTTGCAAAAGCAAGCCCCTCCATGTGTCCCATCTCCCTAAGCCCGTCCATGTGTCCCATCTCCCTAAGCCCATCCATGTGTCCCATCTCCCCAAGCCCGTCCATGTGTCCCATCTCCCCAAGCCCGTCCATGTGTCCCATCTCCCCAAGCCCGTCCATGTGTCCAATCTCCTCAAACCCGTCCATGTGTCCCATCTCCCTAAGCCCATCCATGTGTCCCATCTCCACAAGCCCCTCCAGGTGTCCCATTCCTGCCCCCCAGCTCCTTACATGTGTCTCTCCACCTCCCCTCCTGTACCTGGTCTCCGATGCAGTACCACCGAGCAGACCCCAGCAACCATGGTAGTCACACCACTGCCACCGAACTAGTCATTCTATAAGGCAGAGGGAGAAAATTGGCAAATATCAGACAAAACCCCTATAAGGCTGAAGAGAAGGGAAGTGCCCTGGATGGGTGCAAACTGGGGTTGGAATCTGAATTTTAGGGTGGATATTATTTAATCAATTTTTACTCTTCTTTACACAGATCACAAAGATGGGAAGAACCATTTGCCTTAGTGGTTTCATGGGTTTGGACGTGCCATCTCCTGCCGGCCCATTTTGGATCTTTGGAGATGTCTTCATCGGTCAATACTACACTGTCTTTGACCGAGACAATAATCGTGTGGGATTTGCAAAAGTAAAATAAGTACAAAGTGGATGTCAATAGCTCCAAAGATTTAGTGGGTTAATAGCATAAAATCAGTGTGCTGTGCCCCTATAAGCACTTTTCGTTATTAATCCACAGCTGCAAATGTTGCAGGCTGTGTTAATCATGATGTTACAGAGATTATAGAAATTTTTCTTTTTTTTTAAATTATTTTAGGAAACACTGTCAACGAGGTTCATTTCTGAGCCTGACTTCAAATGGTCAAAGGCATTTGATTGAATGAAAACTCAATATAAAATTAGTTCTTTTTTTTTCTGCTACACTAATGAGCTCAAAAAACAAAACAGAAAAAAATGATTGTGTAGATACAATGAACAAGCAATATTGGCCATCAAGTTCCTAATGGGTTTAGAGGGAAAAGGCATTTACTCTTATTTAAAGTGAAATTCCATATGTCCGAGCTTTTTAAGTCAATATATTTTATAGATAAGTAATGCAGACCTAGTCTTCCAGTAAGTGGTTGGAATCAAGCAGCTTTTTTTTTTTTAAAGTGTTTTTTCATGCCCTAAAAGACAAGAAAAAATAGATTAATAATACAAACGTTTCTTACATGTCATTGAACATATTTGCCTTTCAAAAATACCATTTATCTTTATCTCCTGTCTATTATCCCTACAATTTATACGAGCTAATGCTTAAAGGAACAATCCAGGAACAAGCTATGTACAAGAACCACATGGTGCCAGACGTGCTCTTGGACCTGCCCTATTGTAAATAGTCAAACTATTTTAGAATGTTTTGACTTCTTACCTGGGGTACACAAGACACTACTCCCTGCCACCTCTACTAACTATGGACATCCAGAAGTTCCTAAGCATGAACCTCCGTTAGCTCTCCTGAGCCAAGTCTTGCTTATGAACATCCAGCTCTCTGGAGTTAGTAATGGAGGCAGGGAGTGGTACTCGGTGGATCCCACTTCCGAAGTCAATCCATTCCAAAATGGTTTTACTACTTACAATGGGGCAGTAGAGGTTGATGTGTTTGGAGAGCTCTTTTAAAGGACTCTGCCCTAAGCATTTTTGCTGTTGGAGTTCTTAAACGCTGGGTCAGGACCAGAAAAAAAAATGTCCCCATGCCATTTTTAAAAGACCCAAGCCCACCGTAATTATCAGGTCTCGGACAACTGCCGACAAACACATTATTTACTGTACTGTAATGTCACTGCTTTCCTCAGAGCAATAAAGACCAGTTTGATACAGTGTTTGGCGTATTTTTTGACATAAAGAGATAATTCCATTTCAGTGAAATTTCAATAGAATCAAGATATCCACAAGACAGCGCGGGGACTACTTAGTTTTATGCATGCATCAAATAATAGCAAAATATATCAAAAGGTGGGGCTTTAATGAGTCTCTGCTTGCCATTTCCCATCAGTCATCACTCAGGATAGCCTTGGGTGAGAAGATCGTAAGTGGAGCCTCATTTTATTCTTTCATGCATCTGTGAGAGCACAAATGTGAAGTTTCTCCTAGTACCTTCGACTGCCATCAGCTGAAGAGAGGAATATGGGCAATATGTGGACAATGGAGACCTTCGGGTGCTTATATTTTCCTTCATCTTCTCTCTCCCTGTGTGCCACAATACAAGAATCATGGGTTATTTGCCAAATATGATGTATACATAATTAAAATTTTTGCACGTAATTGCAAAAAAATTTTAGAGGGAAATATCATTCAGAAAAGAAAGCTATTCTTTGAATAGACACTGCAACAGTCTGATGTCACTGAAGCGGTAATAATGTCTGGAATCCACAGGCTCTGTCTTTTTTTCAGTATTAATTGTTTTTAATGTTTTAATGCTAAATGAGAGTCCCCAAAAGCCAATCCCATTCCCTCTGCGCTGCTTTGACTTATGAGGAAGTGTTGGCCTAAATAGCATTTTGGTGGCTGTGATTGGCTGAGAGTGTCAGCTGACCACTTTCAGTCTATCACAGCACTCATTGCTGGAATTAGTTGGTACTGCTATAAAAAAAATATTTAATGTCCACCTTTTCAATTCATCCAGAAGTCCAAGGACCCTCAATCCATGTCAAACTTGCTTGAAAATGGTTTAACACTGAATGGAGGGACAGAGTCAGGGGATTGCAGGAACTGTAACTAACATGAGATGAAATGGTTAAAGTGCCAACAATGTCCCTTTAAGGACAATGATCTTGTATGTAGAAGGGACAGAAAGAGAGGTTTTAGCACATACTGTAAGCAGCAAAAAAACTAATTCTTTTTAAGTGTAGAATGATGCAAAATGTTTGTTTTCGTTTAAAAAAATATATATGTGCACTACTTAGCATTCAAAAATACAGCTAATTATATACGAAAAAGCTACGAAATGCAGACAATTTGTTTTGGCACCTGGAGTGTCCCTTTAAGTAAAAAGTTCCCAATCTACACACATCTTGATGGATGAAGATTAGCCGGTTTGTTTTTACAGTTTGTGTTTGCAAGTGCATATGCAGAGTTATGTTTACTAAACGATCACTTTTATTCAAAAGACAACTTGTTTGATCTCTGTGAAGACTGCTGCTGCTGTTGTCTCTGTTTAGTAATAAGATGTGTTGTCTCTGTAATCAGGTACACTACAAATGCTCAGAACATCAAAAGGAAAGAGAAGGCGGTTGCAAGCCCAAAGCATTTGCTAGAAATAAGAGATCATAAAAATGCATGTTACCAATTTAATGTATATCAGACTTCTCAGTGTGTATTGCGGATGTATGCAGGGATGTATTAGCCGCGAGGCAAACAAGGCATTTGCCATGGGCGGCACTTTCCAGGGGCTGCAAAAATGCCCCCAAATGCCCAGACAAATGTCATGTTAGCCTGGCGGCTAACTAACAGTCCAGACAGGCGGGCGGCACTGGCGAGGGAGCACTGATTAGTGAGCTCTCTGCTCAGCTCCCTCGCGCGCCGTAGAGTGATGCCGGGAGCCAATGACGTCATAATATGACGTCATATTCCGGCTTCCGCCATCACTCTGCGGCATGCGAGGGAACTGAACAGGAGAATCAGTGCTCCCTCGCCGCCTTTGAATTTTGGATTTCATTTTATAAAATTGACTGTGTTAATGTGTGTGTGTGTGTCTGTAAGTGAGCGTGTGTGTGTGTATGTGTGTGTATTTAGAAAGTGGGGAGGGGATGGAGCGGCTCAGCTTTGTCATGCCTAGGGCAGCACAAAACCAGGATACACCACTGGATGTATGGATGGGTAAAATGGAGGTTGTAAACCATAAATGCATGTCTCTCCGTTTGTTACTTGGACTACAATCTGAAGGAGCAATAGATATGATTTAACTTCTCCTCAAAGGTCAGGCCTGCAAGGGGCATTTAATCACCAAACCATAACTGTGCAATTCACCGCTAGGATACTCATATCTAGAGGAGGTATGATCAGGAGGTAAACCAGAACTCCCATGATGCTTTGCTAGCCAGCCAAAAGGCATTATAACTATATATAACTACATAGACCATTTCTATTTATATGGTGATTTTGTACATAAATAAAATCCTTAAGGAACTTCATTGGCACATATGGCATTGATGGGATGGGTTTCACATACTTTTTTAAGGTGGCATAACAGTTTCCTGCTTGCCAGACTGTAACAACCATGTTGTTTTGGACACATACCACTTGTACATGGTGATGACCAGACTATAAAGTGCTGCTTTGTTGTAATTGATCAATTAATTAAAATTAAGGCGCTTCATCTGGAATTCCTCCTTGATGAATATATTGATTTGGTTCCTTCAGCATATGTCACTCCTTTCCTCAGAGCAATAAAGACCAGTTTGATATAGTGTTTGGCGTATTTTTTGATATAGTGTTTGGCGTATTGTAGGCCGGCACTTCTGATGTGCTACCCATCGACATTGAGATGTGATAGATGTCCACAAAAACATGGCAGATCTTGCCATTCAAGAGACCACCATATAATTTCTGCAGGTGAGTTCTTATGTACAATTATTCCAGTGCCCCCATGCCTACAGAGAAACCCTTCAATTAAATCTTTTTTTTCCAGCTATGTAACCTACACACCTATACCAAGGTTTTTTTCCAAGGGTATTTCATAAACCTGATGTGTGCTAGTACTGTGCAAAACCCAATAATGTGTTTAGCTACTTCTGATTACAACAAAAACCCCAACATGAAGCTACAGCGTCCTATAAGAGGCATGACCCTTTTCTGGTTTTACAGTTAGAATTTTTATAGATGAATGTGATGGGCCTAATACGCATTTTGGGACATTGTAGCAGTTTGATCGTCACAATTACCCCATAAATGCATACCATTTAGGAAAGTAGACATCATGAGGTATGTCATATGGGATATTTTGAGCCTTATTATACAACAATTTTATTACCAATTCCTTTAAAAGTTTATGGTATCATTTTTTTGTGTGTGAAAATACATATTTAAATATATAACCTGTCCATTTGCAGTTAAATAATAATAATAGGGACCCCACCCACCGGCATGCGTGGGGGTCAGGGGAAGAGGACATTAGCTCCTTTCCATTATAGATAATAGAGTACTGGCATAGGTGGGGGCAGAGTGAATGGACTCTAGGTCCCCTCTTAAAATTTATAGTATCTCCATCTGATGCCCAAGGGCATGGGGGTGGGCACTATGTCTTGAAACTTGGCAGCAATATATGTAGATATGCCCCCACCTGCAGCTGGGTGCATAGGGAGGTAAAATACATCCACTGTACCTTTTATAGACCCCCATAAGATTTTATTTAGTAATGTATTATTTTTTGTTTATTATTATATTTGACTAGCAAAGGAAGATAGTTTATGTACTGAGAGGGTAGTGGATGCATGGACTAGCCTTCCAGCTGAAGTAGTAGAGGTTAACACAGTGAAAGGATTTAAGCATGTGTGAGATATCCCAGCTATCCCAGCTATAAGATAAGGCCAGGGGCTAAAGAGAGTATTTAGAAAATTTGGGCAGACTAAGTATAGTTCTTACCTGCTGTCACATTCTATGTTTCTATGTTGCTGCCATCTACTGGCTATTTTCAGTATGACAGCTTTATATATTTTCCATTGACTATAGTATTCCCAGTGAATTGCAATCGGTGCTGGGCAACTGACTAGGTCCAACAATGACCAAAATGAAATTAATTTTAATGTTTAGTAGACATGCCCTCACATGCAGCTATGGGCATATAAGGGCAAAATATCTCAATTGTACCACTTATAGACACTCATAGGATTTTTATTTACAACTTTCTTTTGTTTTGTTTAATATTTTCATGTGGCCACTGGCTAGCAAGCTATGGCTATCCGCCACATAATTAACCCTCATGCTGCTGAGAGATTTTAGCTATTTTCCAAATATCATTAACTTGCAAATAGGCTGCTGTAACACTTTGAGAAAGCCCTGTTTTGTGGTGAAACGTGTTAGTGTTAATAATACATTTTGTTTTTATTATTTTATCTATTTGAATTACATTAAAAAAAATAGATATTTTATTTAAAATACCTTCTGTACTCCATTTTCATTAGTGGTGAATGTACCACCCAAGTTCTATGAATTAAGCAAAACCTCATCCTATTTACACTTAAAGGGACACTATAGTCACCAGAACAACTACAGCTTATTGTATTTGTTCTGGTGAGTAAAATCAGTCCCTTCAGACTTTTTGTAGTAAACACTATCTATTCTGAGAAAAGGCAGTGTTTACATTACAAAACAAACAAAGAACCATCTTAAGAAAGTTGAGTGTGATGGCTTTCTCGATGCTAGAAGTGCCCACCACCAGGGCCGGCTTTAGGCCATTAGGCGCCTTGTGCGAAAAGTCTTCACGGCACCAACACCAAGTTGTCTGTATACAGTCACACACACAGGCACAGGCAGACAGTCACACAAATAATTACAAACAGTCAGACACGCTCAGTTACAAGCAGACAGTCACAAATACACACGCATTGTTACAGGCAGACAGTCACACATGCTCAGTTACAGGCAGACAGTCACAGAGCCAAACGCACAGTTAAAGGCAGACAGTCACACACAGTTACAGGCGCACAATCACACACACAGCTACAGGCACACAGTCAAAAGCAAACAGTCACACATTCTTCATTACAAGCAGACAGTTATACACACTCGGTTACAGGCATGAAGACACTCACGCACATTTATTAACCCCTTCACGACCACTGACGTTCAGGACAGTCATCGTAAAAATACCCTTGACGACCGATGACGGTCCTGAACCGTCATAACGGTAATA